GGGTGGTGGGGATGCAGGGGCTGCACGCCGCTCAGGCACCCGGGCCACCCCCAGGAGCGTGAGGGCGATCGTGGGTTCAGTGCGGGGTGGGTCCGCCTCTGCGGGGTGGAAGCGGCCTGCCTCATCACATCTGGTTTGCAGCTATTGGCTCTTGTGCCTTTCTCCGCTAGAGTAAAGAGGGATATTTTAGCACATCTCAATAAATCATAGAGGCCCTGGCTAGAAGGAACCACTGAGATCAGGTATTCTAACCTCCTGTATCAGGCAGGGCAGAGAACATCCCCAAAACCATTCTTAGAGCAGATCTTGCCACACAAAAACAAGAAAACCCCTTCACCCAGTCTTGATTTAGAACTTGTCGATGATGGAGAAGCCACCCTGATCCTTGGCTAATTGTTCCGGTGGCTAACTACCCTGGGGATGTGTCTATACTGGCCACTGATTCCGGAAAATCAGCCGCTTTTCCAGAATAACTTGCCAGCTGTCTACACTGGCCGCTTGAATGTCTGGAAAAGCACTGACGATCTAATGTAAAATCGTCAGTGTTTTTCCGGAAAAACTATGCTGTTCCCGTTCGGGCAAAAGTCCTTTTCCGGAAAACTGTTCCAGAAAAGGGCAAGTGTAGACAGCACAGGAGTCTTTTCCGCAAAAAAGCCACGATCGTGAAAATGACGATCGGGGCTTTTTTGTGGAAAAGCACGTCTACATTGGCACGGACGCTTTTGCTTTTCCGGAAAAGCATCCTGCCAATGTAGACGCGCTTTTTCCGAAAATGTTTATAACGGAAAAGTTTTCCGTTTTAAGCATTTCCGGAAAAGGGTGCCAGTGTAGACGTAGCCTTGTTGTAAGAAAGAATTGCACCTCATTTCCAGTCTGACTTTGTCTACAACTTTCAGCCATTGGATCATGCTTTTTCTGCTAGATCGAAGAGACCTTGACGAAGTATTTTCTCCCTCTGGGGTCACTTGTATGCTGTGAACAAGTCACCCTTTAACCTTCTCTTTGGTAAGCTAAATAGGCCGCGTTCCTTGATTTTAATCCATGTCCAGGACTTGCTATACATTGAGTTGTGCAGCTATATTTGGATCAACAATGCATATGTCAAAGAGAATATGAGTGATGTGATATTTTCCTCTTTGTGGGGATGCAGGCAGTAAATGTGTAACACCAGCAGGCAGAACCAAACCTGGGACCAGTAGAGCTTGGCGCAGAAACCTCTACAGCTTGAGCTATAAAACCAGCTGTTTCTCAGCAAACGCTGTGGAGCAAACTCATGCTTATCTCGCTGTAAGTGGTCTACGTGCCTCTCCGTGGAACAGTGACCCACACCCAGTAAGTATGTGGGTTACAAGTGCACTGGACCAGGACTCAGGAGCGGTGTTCCCTATAAGCTGTGCACCCTTAGCGGGGATTCCAATACCACCCCCTGGATTAGCAGAGTGCCCTCAGTGTGGTGTTCTGTTTCTACTGGTGGTGCACTTCCGCACATGCCTCGGTGCACACAGAAAAATTTATTCGGCACATGGATGGAAAAGATGAGAGGGACCATTGCTCAGGACACCTGGCTTCTGTGGCTGATTCTGCCACTGGCCTGCTGAGCAACCCTGACCAAGGTCCTGCCTCAGTTTCCCCAATTCCAAAATGGGAATAATGCTCCTTTGAGATCTACCACTGAATAGCTCTCTATAACCATGCTGCCTTATTATTGCACTAGTTAAGGGACAGGTTCTGTGAGGGGCTACCTCTATCTTACACATCAGGGATTGAACCTGTGGGACCCAGCACTACAAACAGGAGCAGTATGTTTTGAGCTAACAAGGCAAGCCATGGGCTATAAAAACTCCTATCTTCTCTGGGTCAGTATGAGGGGGAAAGGGCCATTAATAGTTACTCATTGATGGGTTACACTTGTTTTGGCTTTTCTTGTAGATTTCTATTGCCTGTTTTCAGTTGACTACAGAAAGAGTAGAAAGGGAAGTTGATTATAAATGGATCATGTAAACACTGGATTTCAAGCCCTATAGGGCTAAGCAGATCAGATTTGGTGACCTCACAGTCCCTCCTGGTGCTAACATCTGAGTCCTACTTACTGAGAAACTCAGAAAAGAGTTAAAAGGACTCATTAAACATTTGCTACAAACACTAGGTCCAATGCAATATAATATTCTGCTGCTCCTTTGGCTACTATTCCAAGGGGGAAATATTTGAAATGCCCCTGAGAACTCATTACCAAAAGCAGTGACTTGCTACCAGCACCTAACTTAGATTCCTGCTATAACTTTGCAAACAGGACACAGAGCCATTCCCCCCCCTCCCCCACAACCCCTGACAGCTGATCGACTTTTCCAGGTACAAGTTGAAGACCGGCACTTAGATCATTTTCATCCCAGAGAGTCAGAGCTGGCTTCTGCTGCTCTCGGAGATACCGGGCTAAGAAAGAGCCATGTTGCATTTAGGGGTTAATTCTTCTGTCTAGTCTAGTCCATCCATTCATCATCCTCGTCTTGGGACAAAAATTTAGCTACCACCTTGACAGAGGAGAATAAGACACTACAGTTGGCAAGAGACAGGTGAGAACAGGTTTTTGTGAAATGTACAAATCAGGGAGCTTTTCCTGAAATGATTTTCTGATGCCACATTGCAGGGAGACTCATGCAAAACATGCCATGTTACAGACACTTACGTCTTTTAAAGACTCTATCACAGGAGCTGGTAGGAGCCGGGATGATAAAACCTAATAACATTCAGGAGACAGCTGGAATCTGCAGACAGAGGCAGGGTAAGTTTTCTACCATGTCTGGCAATTTTTTCATCTTGTACAGCTGTAGCAAGCAAAGGCAGGAAACGTATTAAGAACTGCATCTAATCTATCTGCCTGTCCCGAGTTCTCTCTTCCTGAAACCATGTAGACAAGAATCTGAGCTTCCCCTGTTGTTAAATTGTGATTAGGACCATGCAAATAAGATTTGGGGAGGTTGCTGGCAAATTCAAAACTGTTTTTAAAAAAATAGTTTGGGGTCAAATCAAACCTTTCATTTTTCAGAATTTTTGGCAGATGGGAAGGTGGGAAAGAATTCACATTGTATCAAAGAGGGGGTTTTACTCAGCCCCGAACTGAATGTCTTTGAGCATTTGGGAATGCTTGTGAGTTGCTTTTCAAGGTGGCTGAAGGAAATGTATCAATGGAACTGAAACAAACTTTTCAGTGGAGACAGTATCAAAAGGAAACTGAGACAAGGTGTTGAGTAAGGAGGACTTAATCAGCCCCTACTCCTGCCCTCTTCAAGAGGGTTAGATTGGGGCTGATAGAACAGCTGGCAACAAGAAACAGCTGCCAAGCTAATTAGCCAAAGGCTATAAAGGCAGGAGGAAGGAAGCCAGCAGAGGAGAAAAGGGGAAGAGAAAGATTAGGCACAGAAAGGAGATCTGGTTGCTGGCAAAGTCTGACTATGAAAAACCTGCACAGAGCCAGCAAAGTGGTGGTGGGAAACAGCTGCAGATACAAAGCCTGACTGGTGTTTGCAACAGCCAGAGAACTCCCTGATTCATGTGTTAGGAAAACAGGGGCAGGGCTCAGATTGGGTCTCACCACAGAATATTCTAGGTCCCCTCCAGTTTTTTAAAACTTGAGCTGAAACAGTGCAGCAGCACCAACTTTTGAAAGAGTTTACTGACTCGGATTCTGCATCACTTTTTTTTTTTTTGGCTGAAAAATTTTACCCAGCTCCAGTTGTGGTAGGCAGACAAAGTCAGTCATGCCAGAGACCCTAGTGTTACAGAAATCTACAGTCCCTGCGCAAGAAAGCTTATTGGCTAGGGTGATTTGTACATTTCAGTCAGATATGCCTGAGATATGGATATTGGACTAGATGGACCTTTGATCCGAGCCAGTGTGACCGTTTTTATGTTCATCTGCATTTTTGTACATTTGTTGGTTTCACTGTTTGCTTAGTATGGGCTGTTACGCTTTATCTAGTCAAGAATGTTTGGCCATGCTGATAATTGAACCAATTGCCAGTTAATTTGAGCTATGTAACACTACTGCGAATGGTGAGCTATGCCCTTTTTGAATATTTGCTCCTGGCCTAGTTTCATGCTAAACTGTAGCACAACAAATGTTTCTAGAACGTCTCGATTCCGGATCCTAGTGTTCATTAAAATCAGTGGATGGGTGGTCAATTAATTTGAGTTATGGAATGACCCAGTTCTCTGATTTGTGCACTAGGACTTGCCCATGTGGGAAAGCTTTTGGGCATAACATAAGGGGACTGAGATTGATAGGTATGCTGCTATTGTCCCAAATACAGAAAGAGCACTGAAATAGTTATGGTAACGCAACACCTAGATTAGAAACAGTGAGGCCAGTATAAAGGTGTGTTTAGAAGGGTGTCGCTTATTCTCCTGCATGCATCCACAACTCCTCCCAGTGCATCCACACTTGGTGTACTGTAACTATACTGGGGTAGTGACAGCCTCACAAGCTTTTTCCTGTACATAAGGACTAGGAGTGTCCCCTCTGGCGATGGGTGGAGCTAACTCTGTAACTGTTCAATCTTTCCCATGAAGACGAGGCCTGACTCAGTTTCCCTTATGTGGGTGTGTCCCGGAGCAAGAGGGGTGCAAAGAATTTTTTTTTTAAAGATCAAATTCTTTTAACCTCTTTCCCAAATGGCTGAGAAACCAGAGGCAGATTCTATGTCTATATTTAACAGGTTGGTCAGTGGGTTACATATTAAAGTGATGATGTCCCTTTAATTGGGGCGTTCGCTTTTTCGGGAGGGAAATATCTCTGGGGGGGCACTTTCTCAATGCAGAGGTTTGGATTTTGCTTTCTGATATCTATTCTGGGGTGAACAAAAGGCATGAAGTCCTAAAAAGCAGGGTGTACTTTGAACATAGCCTGAAAATTGAAATGAGCGTTTATATCAGAATAGCCAAACTGGGTCAGACCGAAGGCCTATCTAGCCCTGTGTCCTGTCTGCCTACAGTGGCCAGGGCCAGGTGCCCCAGAGGGAGGGAACAGAACAGGGAACCATTAAGTGATCCATCCCCTGTCACCCATTTCCAGCTTCCGACAAACAGACACTAGGGACACCATCCCTGCCCTCCATGGCTAATAGCAATTGATGGACCTATCCCCCATGAATTTATCTTGCTCTTTTTTGAACATCCCTGACCATAAGAATTATTTATTAAGAAGCCGTAATCCCTCATGGTCTTCTGAAAGAATCCATTTCAAAATACAGCTACTTTTCTGTATTTCCTACGGTAGGGTGCCATATGAAAAGAGATTAAAAAGACTAGGACTTTTCAGCTTTGAAAAGATGAGACTAAGGGATGTTTGTGTGTGTGTGAAAGAGGTCTATAAAATCATGACCGATTTGGAGAAAGTGAACAAGGAAAACTTATTTACTTCTTCCCAGAACATAATACTAGGGCGGTCACCAAATGAAATTAATAGGTAACAGGTTTAAAACAAATCAAAGGAAGTTTTTCTTCATTCCACGCACAGTCAACCTGTGGAACTCCTTGCCAGAGGATGTTGTGAAGATCAGGACTTTAACAGGGTTCAAAATAGAGCTGGATATATTCATATAGGTTAGGTCCATCAATCGCTAATAGCCAGGATGGGTAGAGATGGTGTCTCTAGCCTCTGTTTGTCAGAGAGATCACTTAATGATTACTGTTCTGTTCATTCCCTCTGGAACACCTGGATTTGGCCGCTATAGGAAGGCAAAACATTGGACAAGATGGATCTTTGGTTTGACCCTGTCTGGTCACTTTTATGATCTTATGTTCTAAGCTCGATATTAATGTAATAATTCATCAATGTATCTATGTTAATGATATAATTCCTTATTTTGGCAGGTAAATCAGCTCTATCTCACTCAGCCGCCACCTAACCAGAGCACATGGCGAATATAAACAACGTGACTGAATTCATCCTCTTGGGCCTCTCCCGGAATCAGAAGTTGCAGAAAATGTGTTTTGCGCTGTTTTTATTCTTCTACATAGCCATTGTTCTTGGAAACCTCCTCATTGTTCTCACAATCATTAGCAGTCAGCGTCTGAACTCTCCCCTGTATTTCTTCCTGAGTTACCTGTCCTTTGTAGACGTCTGCTACTCTTCCGTCACGGCCCCCAAAATGATTGCGGACTTCCTCACAGAGAAGAAAACCATCTCCTTCATTGGCTGCATTGCGCAGCTGTTCGGTGTCCATTTCTTTGGTTGCACAGAGATCTTCATCCTCACGGTGATGGCCTACGACCGCTACATCGCCATCTGCAAACCCCTGCACTACACAACCATCATGACCAGGCGTGTGTGTGGCCAGATGGTGGTGGCCTCTTGGGTAGGGGGCTTTGTGCATTCCATGGTCCAGACTCTTATAACCACCTCATTACCCTTCTGTGGGCCCAACGAGATAGACCATTATTTCTGTGATGTGCACCCTTTGCTCCAATTGGCTTGTGCCGACACCTATGTTGCCGGTATCATAGTTGTTGCCAATAGTGGGATGATTGCGTTGGGCTGTTTCCTTCTCTTGGTTATATCCTACGTGGTGATCTTAATCTCCTTGAGGCAACGTTCCTCTGAAGGACGTCGGAAAGCGCTCTCCACCTGTGGCTCCCATATTGCCGTGGTGATTTTATTTTTCGGGCCTTGCACGTTCACCTACATCCGACCTTCTAGCCACTTGGCAGAGGACAAGATGGTGGCCGTCTTCTACACCGTGATCACCCCCATGCTGAATCCGCTGATCTACACGCTAAGAAACGAGGAGGTGAAAAGCGCCATGAGAAAATTGTGGAGCAGAAAAATTATGTCAGATGGGAACTCAAAAGGGTGATGTGCAGCGTTCAGGCAGTTACACAAATCGGGAAGGAAATGAGGACAATATTCATGAGATTTTAGAGAAATATTTGTCTCTTGCTTTCAGTTCATCCGTGAAAATTCCCCTTGACTGCCGAATCTGGACAAACCTCTTTCAGCTGTCACGACAGTTCTATTTTAAGATGCATAAGATACTAAACTTCTAATTAATGAACTATGGAGACCTTGGGAATCATTCCGTGATGGTGAACATTCAAAACACTAAAACATGAATCACATTTTACGTAGACTGTAAGCTCTTTGAGGGCAGTGACTGTTTTTTGTTCCATGTCTGTACAGCACCTTTCAAACTGGGGCTTGGCCTATGGCAGGGTTGGTAGATGCTACCACTGTATGAATAAAGATAAAGAATAGAGTAATCAAATGAAACTAGGAAAAACACAGTTCAAGCACCCCATCCAATCTACCACAAATTTGCCCTCTCTATACCAACTTCTAACCAATAGAATGTTTCTCTATATATACTAATTTCTTCCACCCAATGGAAAACCAAAGTGGACATACTCTCAGCTGGTAAATATGCGATTCCATTGTGTCCTGCTTTGGTAAAAAAAATGGGAATTTTAAAAGAGAATGAAACGAACCAGATATTAACGGAGATTTACAGCACAAAAGTGAAGCAACCACCATTCCTGAGAACAGGGGGGCTTCCATCCCATTGGAATGACAGGGAAACCTTCCAGTGGCCATCTGGAAAACCTGGGGAATAGAGATGGACAACTCAAATGAGGACAACCTGTGGTTGCAGGGTCCTACTGAGGAAAAAAAGTTTGAAACGTTATCAGTAGAAACGGCCATACTGGGTCAGACCAGTGGGTCATGTAGCCCAGTGTTCTATCTTCCAACAGTGGCCCCAAAGGAAATAAACAGAACAGGGAACCATAAAGTTATCCCTCCCCTGTCTCCCATTCCTAGCTTGTGGCAAAAAAAAGGTAGAGAAATCACCCCCACCCATCCTGGCGAACAGTCATTGATGGACTGATCCTCCATGAATTTATCTAGCTCTTTTTTGAGCCTTGTTTTAGTCTTGGCCTTCACAACCTCCTCAGGCAAGCAATTCCAGGGCTTGACTGTGAGTTTTATGAAGAAATACTCCTGTTTCTTTGTTTGAAACCTGCTGCCTATTCATTTCTCTTGGTAACTCCTTGTAGTATGAGAAGGAGTAAATAACATGTTACAGTAAAACTCCAGTTGTCCGGTACTTCCAATAGTCTGGTAGCAACTGGAACCCGGAAGTGTTCCAGGCAGCAACTCTCATGGCTGGGAGGGGAGGTGTTTGGCTCTGGTAAAGGGGAGGGGAGGGAAGGGCAGGGAAGGGGTATTGGATTGGGAGTATGCCCTCTTATAGTATCATGGAATCATAGAGCTGGAAAAGACCTCAGAAGGTCATCAAGTCCAGCCCCCTGCTCTAGGCAGGACCAATCCCAACTAAATCAACCCAGCCAGGGCTTTGTCAAGCTGAGACTTAAACACCTCTAGGAATGGAGACTCCACTACTTCCCTAGGTGACCCATTCCAGTGCTTCACCACTCTCCTAGCAAAATAGTTTTTCCTAATATCCAAACTGGACCTCTTCCACCACAACTTGAGACCATTGCTCCTTGTTCTGCCATCTGCCACTACTGAAAACAGCCTTTCTCCATCATCTTTGGAACCTCCTTTCAGGAAGTTGAAGGCTGCTCTCAAATCCCCCCTCACTCTTTGCTTCTGCAGATTAAACAGACCCAAGTCCCTCAGCCACTCCTCATAAGTCATATGCTCCAGCCCCCTAATCATTTGGTTGCCCTCCGCTGGACCCTCTCCAATGCGTCCACATCCTTTTTGTAGTGGGGGGCCCAGAACTGGACACAATACTCCAGATGTGGCCTCACCAAAGCCGAATAAAGGAGAATGACATCTCTGGATCTGCTGACAATGCTCCTCTTAATGCACCCTAATATGCCATTAGCCTTCTTGGCTACAAGGGCACACTGTTGACTCATGTCCAGCTTCTCATCCACTGTAACCCCCAGGTCCTTTTCTGCAGAACTACTACTTAGCTGGTTGGTCCCCAGCCTGCAACAATGCTTGGGATTCTTCCGTCCCAAGTGCAGGACTTGGGACAGGGATTCTTCCATCCCAAGTACAGTACCTCCTGGTACTCCAACATATCCGATAATCCAGCACCACCTAGGTCCCAAAGGTGCCAGATTATTGTAAATCTACTGTATTTAACTTTCGCCACACTAGTCATGGTTTTCTAGATCTCTCCTATCCTCCTTAGTCGTTTCTTTCCCAAGCAGAAAAGTTGCAGCCTTATAATCTCTCCTCATATGGAAGCTGTTCCTAGAAATGTTTTGTTTCCCTTTTCTGTACCTTTTCTAATTCAAATATATCTTTTTTGAGATAAGGTGACAAGATCTGCACACAGAATTTTTAGAGATGGGCATATCGTGGGTTTATATAAAGGCGATATGGCATTTTTTGGTCTTTCCTAATGATTTGCAACATTGTTACCTTTTTTTGGCTGCCACTGCACATTGAGTGGATGTTTTCATAGAACTATCTACAATGGCTCCAACATCTCTTTTTTGGGTGGGAACAGCTAATTTAACCCCCCCCTTCCCATTTTGTGTGTATAGCTGGGATTATGTTTTCCAATGTACATTACTTTGCATTTGTCCGCACTGAATTTCATCTGCCAGTTTGTTGCCCAGTCATCCAGTTTTGTGAGATCTCTTTTGTAACTCTTTGCCATCAGCTTCGGTCTTAACAATCTTTATATATTTTCTATCTTCTGCAGTTTTTGCCACCTAAGTGTCCAGTGTCTTAACCACAAGCATTTCCTTTCTTATTTTTTTCATCGGTTTTAAAAAGATCCCCTCTTTGTACATCCTGATTTTTTTAAACATCCTTTGAAATAAACCTTCACATTTTTAAATCTTCTCTTGATCTAGGCAAGGTTTTTGAAACTGTCTAGAACAGACCAATACACAAAAAGGAAATGTTTAATAATAATCACGAGCTAGTACTTGCCACTAGAATAGGTACAAAATGTCCAGGCCAATGCCCTGCAAGCAAACAGTATCCTGGAGGAATTGTCTGGCTAGTATTTAGTTTTGATCACAAAGCAAAACTCTTCACAAATGCTTTACAGACCAAAAATTATTCATAGTTTATGGCTTAATTCAAGTATTTCATGGTTGATCTGTGGAAATGAGTCCACACCTAATTTATTTGTCCTGCCCCATTCATAAAGCTGCAGTTATGTCATTGAAATAACCTTGAAAGCAACCCTGAAGCATTCCTGAATTGGGGCCTGTATACACTATACAACATATATTCTACAGTAAAATTTTCCAAAGTACTTAATGGTGTGATATTCCTCTTATTGACATCAGTGGCAAAACATCCAGTGGCTTCATTGGAGCAGGATCAAGCCTAAAATGATTTAGGAACAGAGGTGGTCACAGAATGACTTTTTCCCATGGAAAAAAAAAGATTATTCACAAGAAAATGGATTTTTAAAAAACTGTTTGACTGAAAACTGCTGAAACCAAAAAGGGTTCTGGCCTCACACAAACCAAAAATTCCATTTTGGACAGAACCTTTTTTTTAGGCTCTCTGCTTACTTATGAAAAACAGAAAATAGTTGAGGAAGGAACTCACTTTTTGTGAAAATTGTCATTTAATTGAAAATCCAATATTTTGGGGAGTGGGGAGGAATTCTGTTAAAATTGCCCAATTTTACATTTGGGTCTACACTCGGCTGAAAGGTATTGGACAAAGGCTTGTACGTTAAATAGAATACAATTTTTAAAAGTTACTCATGTAACTTATGAGCTTTTGTCCAATGCCTTTCAACCGAGAATAGACTCAACTCTAAGGCTGGACAGTTTTAACAGATTTTTTTTCAGACCCAACAAAAAATTGGGTTTTCAATTAAACGAAAATTTTCACAAAAAGTGACTACTTTCCTTAACTTTTTTTTTCTGTTTTTCATAAGTAAGCAGAATGCCTTAAAAAAAGGCAGAATGAATGGATGAATGTTGTATGTTTTGGCCAAAATAAAATCCTTTTTGGTTTCAGCAGTTTTCAGACAAATATGTTTTAAAAATCCCCTTTCTGGTGAATGATCAAATTTTTCCATGGGGAAAAATCATTCTGTGACCAAAGAACATTGTGGGGGTTTTTTCCCAGCATTTTTGGGTTCCTAAAATTTCAAAATAGTTCAAAAGTTTTGTCATATAAAATATTCTGAGTAGATTCTACAACAACACCACATGTTTAGCTTTATTCATCTGAATAACCCCACTGAAATGTAACCTGAAAACAAACTCAATACTGAATAATTAAATTTTACTAACAACAGGAGAAAGAAGCCAAATTGACAGGCTGTAGGTCAAAACTCCTCCAGAACTACTGGAACCATCATGTGTGGAAAATAACCTAAGAAGAATTTGTTTCCATCTCCATCAGGAACAGACCTGCCACCATCATGCCAGCCATATGTGATGTTTCAATCTGAATTAAATAACAGCTACTCTTAATATTTTAAATAATAAAAAGTTGACAATTATACAATCATAGTTTGACATGAAATGTCCCATTATGCTATCATTTGATAATTCTGCACCAATACATAATGTAAGTATCATAACAATGAAAATAAAGTAGAAGAAATTCAGAACAAAAGTTTTGATATTTTTTTCTGAAAATAATTGTTTTTTAACCAAAACCACTATTTTGTGATGATTTGTTTTCCTGGGAATTTTCATTGAAATCAGTTTGATTTAATGAAAAACATCATTTACTTTGATATGATGTTGACAGAAAGATTTTAACAAATTTTCCAACCCGCTCCACTCTTAAACTTTTGGATGCGCGTGAGCATTTTCTGTATCCTACAGCTTCACTAATGTATGCCAAAATCATACAGATCACTTATGGATCAATGGGCAAAATGCTTGATTCCAACGCCGTCAGAACTGATTTCTGCAAAATATGGAATCTTCATATTTTATTTGCACATTTTTGCAATCCAGTGAGCTTAAAAATTCTGGAGGTTGCTGGTTCAATTCAGAACTTTTTGATCATTGAAGTAGGACTCAGTTCAGATGAAAACTTTTTTTTATATAACTTTGTTCTTATCCCAGATAAACCTCAACACAGAGATACCATGGTGACTTTCAGAGATACTTAGCATAGGTCCAGTGGGCATAATTAAAACTTCTTTGAAAAAAAAAAGTTCTGCAAGTGACTCACGCAAACTAATTTTTACTATTGCACACACTTAATGACTTGGCTACAGACTGAGAATATGCCAGGCACAACAACAATTAGTGGAATCTCCAGACACTGAAGTAAAAGCAGAACAGAAGAATTACAAAATTAGAGGTTTGTTTGCTTCACTCATATTAGCCTATCTCCTATGTCTGGTCCAATAAGTTAAAGCAAAACGGGCAAAAAATGATTGAATGTATCTACCACCAAAGTAACAATTTTGGGTCACTGTAATCCATTAAGGTCTGTTTGTTTTCTGTGATTTCAGCATTTTGATGACCACCGACATGTTCGTGAGATTGCAAACTCCAAACCTTTTATAGATTTTGTTGCAAATTCTCCTGAAAATTGGTCTCAGAAAAAGCACTTTTCTACCTTTCATCGTTCTCCAGATGAAAAAGTTTCATCTTCATCCCTTCAAGCAGGGAGTGGGAGGTAGATCATATGGCTTAGCTGTCCTGTCTCACAAAAGAACAACCGGCAAACACTAAAAAGCCAGGATGAGCAGCTGGCAAACAACCTAGAAATGAATAGCATTTGGCCCAATTTACTACCCATTCCTTATAAATACCAAATTCATTCAAAGGAAATCGGTTTTATTTGATACATGATTCATTAAGCAAAACCCACGTCTAAGGCCCAGTGCATCCTGTTTGTAAAAAATAGTTTGGGTTTGCAGTGTTCCTGCTCTGAGGCTATGTCTACACTGTGGGGTTCTTACGGGAACTCTACCGCATCCAGAAAACACATTTGCTCTTTTGCTTTTTTTTCGCAGAAGAGCAGACACGCTCTTTCAGGGAGTCATGTATGCCTCGTTCTATGAGGAATAAGGGCTCCTCTGAAAGAGGAGGGAGGCCTTTCTGCCATTTGACCCCGTCTATACAGGGCCAAATGTCGGAAAAGCCTCTTCTGGAAAAGCAATCGGAAAATGCTACACAAATTGAGGAAATTTTTTTTGCGAAAAAAAGCTATAGTGTAGACATCGCCCGAGAGAGTTGTCACAGTCTTGGTTTTGTGTCATTGCATCTAGGCTAGCATCAGAAGTCTCTTGTTACCGATCAGTGCAGTCCTGGTTCTGCCAGTCGTTAAGTGAGGTTGTGGGTGAGTGTGTTTATCCCCAATACATATCTTGCACAGGTGAACAATGAGCAGCCACCCCATAAATTTGCCTGGGGTTTGATCCGGGTACTAATGAATCTTTCACTGATGTTCACCCTAGGAACACAGCACTACGGGTAGTGCTAGATGTTCCACTTGGGTTGGGTCCTCCTTCCACTCCAGCTGTAGGTCGAGAGCAGTCATAGGGTGGGATGTAAGCAACGTCCTGTGACAAAAATGTGGCAGGACTCATTTGGGTATGCATTTCCCCAGAGCCCCCCTGAATCAATTTTGCTGTAATGTCTCTGCTGCGGAACTTACTAAACCATTACGTCTAGGGGACCCTTTCTGGTCACCATTGAGTCCTGCAACTTTATGTCATGAGCAGGCATACGCTTATCAACAACATAGAAAAAATCATTTGAAATGGGAGGACTTGGGTCACATGTCAGCTAATAAGCAAGCATGGAGAATGTGGGTAACTAAATGTGCTGAAAATCTCAGGATGGCTTAATGTCTAAGCCTTAAGGTACTCTGGGTATGTCTATACTTGCCATTTTTTTTTTAAATTTACAAGCCCGGACTAACTGCCCGCGTCTACATGAGGCAGGGACCCGGTAGTTAGAATTAAAGCCCCTAGTTCGAACTACCTGTTATTCCTCCTGCAAGAAGGTTTAACAGGTAGCTTGAACTAGGGGCTTTAATTCGAACTACCCGGTTCCTACCGCGTGTAGACGTGGGCAGTTAGTCCGGGCTTGTAAATTTCAAAAATGGCGACCGGCCGGGAAGATGGAAATCAAGCACGGGATATTTAAATCCCAGGCTTGATTTACAACTTTGAATGCCTCCATTAGCCTCCCTAGTTCGAACTAGGGGGCTAGTGTAGACAGACCCCTCCTACGCAATCACTTAAATAAGAGATTTAACAATGTTTCTGTTCTACATACTCATGACATAAAGTAATTACTTTCCCCCCTCTATGCTGCCCCTCTCTGCCCCAGGCTGGGGCCATGCTACAGGTGGCTGCGGCGTCCCAGGCATGGGGCCATTGGTTGGGGGCATGGAACCAGCAGTGGAGCTGCTGGGAGCCCGGCCAGCAATGGAACCCCCACCGAGAAGGACCTAAGGCCTTCAACGGAGTCCATGGGGCTGGTGGCAGGGACTTCCAGAGGCAGCAGGGTCAGTGTCTGGGACTCCAGGTGGTAGCAGACCTCCTCGTGTGGGTTGGTGGCTGGGTCCCTCTTGGGGTACGTCTAAACTACACGGCTCCGTTGATGAAGCCATGTAGATTAGTTTACTAGAAAAAGGGAAATGAAGTGGCGATTTAAATAATCACCACTTCGTTTAAATCAAAATGGCCGCCGCCCCGTGCCGATCAGCTCTTTGTTGGCACAGCGGGGCAGTCTAGACGGGGATCTGCCGACCCCAGAACCCTTCGTCAGCAGATCCTTTATGCCTCATGAAACGAAGGGTTCTGGGGTCGGAAGATCCCCATCTAGACTGCCGCGCTGTGCTGACAAACAGCTGATCGGCACAGCACAGTGGCCATTTTGATTTAAATGAAGCGGCGATTATTTAAATCTCCGCTTCATTTTCCTTTGTCGTCTTGCATCATCTACATGGCTCCGTCGATGGAGTCATGTAGTCTAGACACACCCTTGAGGTACAGAAAAACGGAGGGATGCTGCAGCACTTCCACACCCCTTCTTCCCACTCCTGCATGTCCAGTTGTAAGTGTGAGGCACAGAAAAACCAAAGGAACTAAAGGCCAGATTTGGGAAAGATATTTAGGGGTAGCTCTGCTCAGTTTCACAAGGGCCTCAGCGACCTAGATTGCTAAATCCTATTGATTTAGGCACTTAGGGTATGTCTACACTACCACCCTAGTTCGAACTAGGGTGGTTAATGTAGTCATACGAACTTGCAAATGAAGCCCGGGATTTGAATTTTCCGGGCTTCATTTGCATGTTGCCGGGTGCCGCCATTTTTAAATGTCCGCTAGTTCGGACTCCGAGTTAGGGTGGTAGTGTAGACATACCCTTAGAGTCCTAATTCCCAACGGTTGCTTGGTACCCAAGTCAATTTTGAAAAGGCAGTGTAGCCAAGTTCCTTTCAAACTCCAGGGCATGGCTTGGAAGAGTGACCCACAGGCTGGCCAACAGGGTCCGCAGGCATGGCCGCTCCCAGCTCCTAATGGCTGGGGTCACCATTCCTGGCCAATGGGAGCTGCAGGAAGTGGTGGCCTAGCCCACATCACTTCCGCAGCGCCCATTGGCTGGAAACAGTGTAACGTGGCCACCAGGAGCTGTGAGTGGCCATGCCTGTGGACACTCAGGCAAACAAAGCGTCTCGTGGCCAGCTAGCAGCTTACCCTTACGAGCCACTGCCCAAAGGTAGAAAACCCCTGCCTTATCCCTTGTAATGCTGAGTGGAGAAATGACACGCACGCACATCCTGCAAAAAAAAAAAAGTTGCCTGAAAGATGTGTCCCAAGTAATATGATTTAGCGGCCTCTTCACTAGCTGCGTCCAATGGAAACACCTTGAAATGCCTCTGGGAACTCATTTCCCAAGGCAGTGACGTGCTACCACTATATGATTCCCTCTTAATATTTCTGCTGTCACTTCAAAGCTAGGTGAGGAAGAGCATTCTCCTAGAGATCCGGTTGGATCGGGGGAAGACAGAGTTTCAGATCAATTTCTGCCCCATGGCTTTCAAACGATGAGAGAAGTGAACAGGAAAGGATCGCTCTGTGCTTACAGGGGCCATCCAACACTCCCGTTTACTAAATTAGTCCTCACTTATCGTTAGAGATGGCTGGTCACTGCTGAGATTAGATCGACTAGAATGGAAGAGAATAGAATAAGAAGATTTCATCCTTGGTGCTGGTGAAAGCTCGGGAGAGAACATCTTCCAAGAAACGATTAGGATCTACAACTACATCAGTGTAAGTTTCCAGTATGGCTCAATACTTTATATACATTAATTCTTTTTTCTTTACTTTTACCCACATAACATAAAGGAAAATAATCTTTTAATTGGGGTTTCAATCTAGTGCAATTGAACCCGTCAGTCTCACAATAATTACATTGGAGTATGACTCTGAAATCCTGTCTCCTAATTCCCGTTACACAATTTGTATTTATTATTGAGAGATTTTTAAAACGTGAGCTTTTTTCTCTTTCGAAAAAACGTAGTTTAGACGTGCCCTGAGAGGTGACATGATAGCAGTTTTCAGGTATCTAAAAGGGAGTCACAAGGAGGAGGGAGAAAAATTGTTCTCCTTGGCCTCTGAGGATAGGACAAGAAGCAATGGACTTAAACTGCAGCAATGGAGGCTTAGGTTGGACATTAGGAAAAAGTTCCTAACTGTCAGGGTGGTTAAACACTGGAATAAGTCGCCTAGGAAGGTTGTGGAATCTCCATCTCTGGAGATATTTAAGAGCAGTATTTTTGCCTCTAACCATCTCCTTTGTTGTCTGGACAGCACAGCTGTTTGGTAGTCATTTATAATATATCAGTATCTGATTTCCCTTTATATGTTACTCTAGTAATGACATTCATTACGATAGAAGAGAAATTTCCAGATTTTTCTGATGGAAAATATGCAGGCACCAGTTTTTCTACATCGCTTCCTTACATTTCTGTCCCAAATGCGGATGTTCAAATCAGCGACTCGGAGCATAAAACAGTCATTTAGAAGCCAGGGACAATGTGGGCAAGCTCTTCTTCTTGTATTAAAAGAGACAGTTGCAAAAGAGACTCAAGGAGTGTATATAAATGATACAATAGAAGTTGCACTAGATGTTCATGTAGCTCATCATACAATCATAGAACACGAAAACTGGAAGGGACCTCGAGAGGCCATCAAGTCCAGTCCCCTGCCCTCATGGCAGGACCAAGCATCATTTACATCATCCCTGATAGATGTCTGTCCAAGATGCTCTTCAATATCTCCAGAGATGGAGATTCCACAACTTCCATAGGTAATTTATCCCAGTGTCGTACCGCCCTGACAATTAGGAATTTTTACTAATGTCCAACCTAAACCTCACTTGCAGGAGTTTAAGCCCATTGCTTCTTGTTCTATCATTAGTGGTCAGGGAGAACAATTTTTCTCCCTCCTCCTTGTAATACCCTTTGAGGTACTTGTTGAACGTTGTTATCATGCCCCCTCTCAGTCTTCTCTTTTCTAAACTAAACAAACCCAATTCTTTAAGTCTTCCCTCATAGGTCGTGTTCTGTAGTCCTTGACTGAATTCATGTTGAGTTGAACATCAGTTTCTAGTGTTCCTTTGACTGAGATATTGGCATTGGTTTCTTTTTGGTCTCAATCTACTTCTTTGGCAAATACATTGTGATATTCACTGTGACAACCATCAATGTTGATTTTTTAAATTGATATTTCTGCATCCGTGTCATTACAGGTGACTTGATTTGACCCCTTCAACTCCTTTCCTACATGGAGAATGTAAACAATGTATCTGAGTTCATTCTACTAGGACTCTCTCAGGATCCCAAATTACAACAACTGTGTTTTGTGCTCTTTTTACTCTTCTATGTTCTTATCATTCTGGGAAATCTGCTGATCATTGTCACCATCCAGAGCAGTGAGCAACTGGATTCCCCAATGTATTTCTTCCTTAGATACCTGTCCTTTGTAGACGTTTGCTACTCTTCCGTCACCGCCCCCAAGCTGATTGCCGGCTTCCTGGTGGAGAGGAAAACCATCTCCTTTGTTGGCTGCATAGCGCAGCTGTTTGGTATCCATTTCTTTGGGTGCACTGAGATCTTCCTCCTCACGGTGATGGCCTATGACCGTTACATCGCCATCTGCAAACCCCTGCATTATATGACCATTATGAGCAGGCACGTGTGCAGCTGGATGGTGGTGGCATCCTGGCTGGGGGGCTTTGTGCATTCCATGGTCCAGACTCTCTTGACCACCCAGTTGCCCTTCTGTGGGCCCAATGAGATTGACCACTACTTCTGTGACGTTCACCCTTTGCTGAAACTGGCCTGCACAGACACCTATATAGTTGGCATCATAGTTGTGGCCAATAGCGGGATGATTTCTCTTAGCTGCTTTGTTGTGCTTGTTGTCTCTTATGTCATCATCTTAATCTCCTTGAAAACTCGCTCTTCTGAAGGGCGTCTCAAAGCGCTCTCCACCTGCGCCTCCCACATCACGGTCGTGATTTTATTTTTAGGGCCATGTATCTTCATCTACATGAGACCTTCCACCACCTTCTCTGAGGACAAGATGGTGGCCGTCTTCTACACCATTATCACCCCCATGCTGAATCCTTTGATCTACACCTTGAGAAATGAAGAGGTGAAAAATGCCATGAGAAAGTTATGGAGCAGAGGAGTGGTAGCGGGAGGGAAATTAAAAATGTGATGTGTCGAATGATGGTGGTAGATATGAGATCTGAAAATATTCAGAAGAAATTTTAGGGGAATCCATTATTCTTTTCTGGTGGTCTTTTTGTGAAAAGTCTGTTTCCCTCTTAATGCAGAGCTGCAGATGGTCCTCCAACTTCTGCAGCTGTTCTATTTTAACATGAATTTTGTAAGAGGATTGGAAAAAAATCTACTGAAGCTATCAATAGTTTTCTTTTCATTTTATACAAAGGCTATATGTGAAAGCTTAGCAGGTAACTGATCCGGTAATTGACCCGATGTAAGAAAAAAATTGTTATGAGCAGATTATTTCATAATTCTGCAATTGGTTGTTCCAAAATGGCAAGTGGATTTTAATGTTGATAAATAAAAAGTAATGCACACTGGGAAAAATAAATCCCAACTATGCATAAAAAATGATAGGGACTAATTTAGCTACAACCACTCAAGAGTGAGATCTTGGAGTCATTGTGGATAGTTCTCTAAAAACATCCACTCAATGTGCAGTGGCAGTCAAAAAAGCAAACGATTAGGCATTGTTAAATAAAGGATAGAAAACAGACTGAAAACATTTTATTGCCTCTATGTAAATCCATAGTATGGCCACAGCTTGAATACTGTGTACAGATGTGGTTGCCTCATCTCAAAGACATGTTGGCATTGGAAAAGGTTCAGAAGAAGGCAACAAAAATGATTAGGGGTTTGAAAAAGCTGCCTTATGAAGAGAGATTAAAAAGACTTGGACTTTTCGGCTTAGAAGAGAGGAGACTAAGGGGTATATGAAGATGTTGAGCTAATATGGGGATAAAGATCTTATAAGAACCAATGTACAACAGCATAAAGGAAATTAATTGCTCATAAAATCTGAAGCAACCATTTTAAGGTTAGAAAGGACCAGTCAATCATCTAACATGACCTACTTAAGAACAGGGTATCTAGTTGGACCTTTGAAACACTGGACGTAGGGTTTGCCTGAATAAATTCCTGTCTTGAGCTATAACCGAAACTTTAGAAAAATATCTAGTTCTGATTTAAAAAAATTTCTAAGGATGGAGAATTCACCCTCTTTGGGAGTTGTTCCAATGATTACTTAGACTAGAAGAGAATTCTTACTTTTAAAATTAATACATGTTCTTGAGTACAATTAGTTGCTTTCAGAAAAGTCCTGTCGTGATGTAACATGCAAATAAATGACTCTACTCTAGTACTTATTATTATTCTCAACTATGTTTCAGGTGGTTTCACCAGAGGTCCTAGAAAGACGTGTTTCTTGCCCCAGGTGGTTGTTTCTAAGGAAATTGAGAGATATTGGGTTCTAATATATATATATCTCTGGTCTCTAAGGCTATGTCTACACTACCCTCCTAGTTCGAACTAGGAGGGTAGTGTAGACATACCCTAATAGATTAGTAAAACAGGATTTCCCTTTACAGAAAATATGTTGACTTTTGTCCAACAAATTATGTTCTTCTACATGCTTCACAATTTTATTCAACTAGGTAGTTCGAACTAGGCTTCCTAGTTACTCCTCATTTCACGAGGTAGTTCAAAATGAGGAGTAATGGTAGTTCGAACTAGGAAGCCTAGTTCGAACTACCTAGTTCGTGCCCCGTGTAGCCACGCTGCACGGGGTTCAAACCAGCGGGGTTTTAAAAATGGCGGGGCCCCGCTTATGCAAATGAAGCCCGGGAAATTCAAATCCCGGGCTTCATTTGCAAGTGCGGTATGCCTACATTACCCCGCTAGTTCGAACTAGCGGGGTAGTGTAGACATACCCTAAATGATGGAATTGTGTAAAAGCTACCGCTGTCAGTAAGACTTAAATATTCAGGTTGCCGTAGGTAGAGCCCAGAAAAATAGCCATTTTAGCATCATTAAAGAAATTCTGCTCTTGATTTATAAAACCATATAGATATTAAGCAAAAATATTTTGGGAGCTTCCCCACTCTGCTCCAGATTTGAGAATCCAAGAATATTGTTGTACCTTGACCATTACATTTGCAAGGGCACAGCGACACAGCAGGGCTCAAGTTGAATTAAGTGACGTAACTTCAGCTATGTCAGTCATGGAGCTGACGTCAAAATAGCTTAACCTGGCTTTTGGCGCTGGCTACACAGCAGGAAGTCGAGGAGGAACATTCTTGTTGTTCTCTGTGGCACACCTCCCACTGCCTCGCGGCACACTGCAAAACACAGTTTAAGAAACAGTGGTCTACACAGCACCCTAAACTTGAAATAAGAGATGAAATTCGCGTTATGCAAATTGTCTCTTATTTAGATTCTATTTCAAAATAGCTTATTTTTTGAAATCTGGTGCATCCACACAGTGCCAGATTTCGAAATGATGCCCTATTCCAAGCACTACAGAGATGCCGAAATAGCACGCCCATTACTTGGAAAAATATTTTGAAACAACAGGTGGCTTGTTAAAACGTGGGGTAGCTATTTCGGGATTTCTCCAGTATCCCAAAATAGCCACGCAGTGTAGACATACCCCTTGTGCTCCCACATCACATTCCTTTCTCCTTTCTCTTTGTATTTCTGCAACCCAAAGTGCATCTCTGCCTCCACTTTCCTTCTCCTTGGCCCCCTCCACGTGTGTGCTTCCTCCCCTACAGTGTCCGCCTCTCTCGCCTCCAGAGTCATAAGGCTCTTCACAAGTGACCCATCTAGGGCCACTCCCTCCCTTAGGGTAGTTCAGTTTCAATCCCTCCAGAAGCAATAGGAGACAATGGCCACTTGACAAAAGCACAGCCTCCTGGGCCTATGCAGTAGCCATGTGGGAATGGCAGAGAGTTTGGTTAAAAGGCAGGCCGGATCTTCAATCTCACGGAGACCATTTTTTCACAGTGCCTCCTTCCCATCCCTCCAGCACCTCCCCACCCCTCCAGTACCACCTCCCCACATTCCCACCCCTCCAGCACTCGGTACCACTTGGAATGGTGCACCGGAGCTATTTCAAAGGGGCCTGGGATTCTAGCTGGGAGCTGTGGGCCCCTTTGAAACACCGAGATCCGGTGTAATTGCCCCCCAACCTGTGCTACAGAGAAATCCCATTGCCCCAGACTTGTCCCAAGCCCTGTCACAGCCGAGTCACGTTATCATGCCGAGGAGAAATCCAAACATTCTTAAACCCTGCAGCTTAATTCAACTTTTGCCCTGCTGTGTACACATACCCTTAGGCTGTGTCTACACTGGTCACTTATTCCGGAAAATCAGCCGCTTTTCCGGAATAACTTGCCAGCTGTCTACACTGGCCGCTTGAATTTCCGGAAAAGCACTGACGATCTAATGTGAAATCATCAGTGCTTTTCCGGAAAAACTATGCTGCTCCCGTTCGGGCAAAAGTCTTTTTCCAGAAAACTGTTCCAGAAAAAGGGCCAGTGTAGACAGCAGAGATTTCTTTTCCGCAAAAAAGCCCCGATCGTGAAAATGACTATCGGGGCTTTTTTGCGGAAAAGCACATCTAGATTAGCACGGACGCTTTTCAGCAAAAAGTGCTTTTCCGGAAAAGCATCCTGCCAATCTAGACGCGCTTTTTCCGAAAATACTTTTAATGGAAAACTTTTCCATTAAAAGCATTTTCGGAAAAACATGCCAGTGTAGACGTAGCCTGCATGTTCATGAGGAAAGGGTGATGCAAAAGCCACTGATGTCAACCAGGCACTGTTCTACTGATGTTCTTGGCCATTAGTTCTTTCCAGTTAAGGCCTGGTCCAGTGATTGTGTACACACAGCAGCTCCACACAGCTCACTGCCTTTTGCCCAATCTCTCCAAGCCCCCGTTGTAAGCATAGAAGACGAAGTGAGGAAACGGACCCAGGATTTCCTGTGTTCTCCTGCTACAAAGGAGGGTGTGAATTAAAGGAATTGGACAATCGCATGACTCCTATGGGCCAGAATTGAGTGAAAATGTGAGGAGGAGGGAGAAGGGGATTCATATTGAGAACTGGGGATGGAAAAGGACTCTCAACAGAGCCTTGAAAGTTTGTGTCAAATACACAAGTAAATCTATACACTGAGGTGTTTTTTCTGCAGCCATTTCCAGAGAAGCCTTCAAATCCCTCTGGGAGTTCATTAATCAGGCGATGACGCACTGCCGCTGAATATTTATTTTAAATATTTCTACTGCGACTTCACTGTCAGGCAGACAGTTGGTCCCAAAGATCTGGTTGGATCTCAGATTTTGGCGAGTGAGGGATGCAGACCGTCTTGGATCTGGGGGTTTGTGAGTCGGGAGAGTGGATGATGTGAAAAGATTCCTAAGATTTCCCGATGTGAGAAGACTGGGATCAACCAAGCTCCTTCTCTAGTTCTCTAATTTAGGCTTCGCAAAATTGACAGGCAGCAAAGAACAGACAGCGTGTGTAGAGACACGTGGTGGGATGAAATTTACAAAGCAGAAAATCTCTCTAGCCAGTATGAATTACCCTCATCAACTGTGAACTGTTGTTCAGATCTGAACATCTTTGCCACGGGAGCAGATTAGAAGCTCGAAAAATAAAACCCATCGTCATCCAGGTAAGATTTTAAGATCTGCCAATACAATCCATGTGAGTTTTCCAGCAAGGCTGAGTGTTTTATGCTGTTCTTTCCTTGCTTAGCTCTACCAACGTAAAAGAAAACACTTCATTTAGGATTCGCTCCAATCGAATTCCTCCTTCCATCAATCAGACTCCAACGAATTCACCTAAAGTATGAAAAATGATTCTAAAATCTCCATCACAAACTTCTCCCTTGAAAAATTCTTAATATTGTTGTTTTAAAATTTGAGTTTTGAAATGTATAAAATAGGTTAATTAGATGCTAAGTCATAAGGAACAAACACCCCCACACCATATTTAGTCCACTTCTGTGCATGATCATTCATACATACTTTCTTTGGAAACATTTAAATCCGTCAACCTCAAATCAAATGAATCATGTCACAGAGGGTCAAGTTTACTAGGAGGTTGCGGCTACTTTCCATCACTCTGGTGACACAGTTAACTCATCAATCGAATAGGGTTTATGGCTGCTTTGCATTTTCAGAGTGGCATAAATCATCAAAAGTGTATCCATCAGCCCTGAGGATAAATTAGTGTTTCCCTTCTTGTTTCAATTGGAGTTTGGTGCAAAGTTGATCGAAATTGTCCATTGAAACAACGTTTTCAATTAAAATGATTTTTCAATGAGATGTAAATGTTTCAATGAGATTAAAGATAAACAGAGGCCAGTTTTCAAGCACTGGTTACTTAACAAGATAACTCAGTTTCATGTCTGCATTGTACAAAGAAATAAGTTTTGGAGCATTTATGTGCCCAAATGCCAAGGTAAGAGATATGGTCATCCTTGGATGAAAAATGGGATTTCCGAAGGTATTTAACAATGCAATAAGAATAAAATAGATCGGATATCATGGAAGAGCTGATTGCAAATTCTGGTTAAGGTTTTCACCTACAATTAACATCTTTGATCATTCTTTCTCTGGTAGGTGAAGAATAGAATGAATCCTCTTCAGATTTTCCACTCTGAATGTTTTAGTTTGTATTGTTCACAGCAATATGTAACTCGAGCTGACTTCTTCTAGTACCTCGAGTTATATATTTTTGGAAAAAGTCTACCACTTCAGTCAGTGCATCTTGAAATACACCTCATTCCAAGTTGATATCTGTTTTTTATGCTTAGCCTTGTTTTGTGTCTCGGCAGGTGGATTAAGTGAATTCCATTTATCCATCACTTACACCGGGTACATGGAGCCCACACAGAATGTGACCGAATTCATCCTTTCAGGACTTTGCCAGAACAAGAAGTTACGGCCAGTGTGTTTTACATTCTTTGTGCTCCTCTACCTCGCCACTGTGCTGGGAAATCTTCTCATCATAGTCACAGTGAAGAGCAGCCAGAATCTAAAGTCGCCCATGTATTTCTTTCTGAGCTTCCTGTCCTTTGTGGACATGTGTCTGTCCTCTGTCACGGCCCCCAAGCTGATGGCAGACTTCCTGGTGGAGAAGAAAACCATCTCCTTTGGGGGCTGCATAGCGCAGCTGTTTGTGATCCATTTCTTTGGATGCACTGAGATCTTCCTCCTCACCGTGATGGCCTACGACCGTTACATCGCCATCTGCAAGCCCCTCCACTATGCCACCGCCATGACTGCCTGTGTGTGTGGCTCACTTGTGGCAGCTTCGTGGCTGGGGGGCTTTGTGCATTCCATAATCCAGACTCTCCTGACCATCCAGTTGCCCTTCTGTGGGCCCAATGAGATGGACCACTATTTCTGTGACGTCCACCCTTTGCTGAAACTGGCCTGCACGGACACCTATCTCGTTGGCATCATGGTCATTGCCAATACTGGCATGATTTCCCTGACCTGTTTTGTCGTGCTCGTTGTGTCCTACGCCGTTATCTTATTCTCCTTGAGAAGTCGCTCCTCCGAAGGCCGCCGCAAAGCTCTTTCCACCCTGCGCCTCTCACCTTGCTGTCGTGAGTATATTTTTTGGGCCGTGTATCTTCATGTATTTACGGCCTCCCACCACCTTCTCAGAAGATAAGATGGTCACTGTGTTCTACACCATTGTCACCCCTGTGCTGAACCCCTTGATCTACACCCTGCGAAATGAGGAGGTGAAAAATGCCATGAGAAAATTAGGGAGCAGACAAGTGACATTAGGGGTGAAATGAGTGACGGGTGGAAATTTTTCCGGTTCTTTGTTCAATGTTATGTCTAACTTCAATTAGATTATTATCATGATAGTCCCAGGAGCACTGCAGCATTATGACCTAGTGATCACCTTGGATTGTGGCTCTTAAGTCCTGGGTTCTAGTCTTGATTCTGTCATATTATGAATTTGAGTCAGTGGCTTCCTCTATCTGAACCTCTGTTTGTCTCCCACATTTTTTTTTCATATTAGGCTGTAACCTCTTCAGGGCAGGGACTGTCTCTTACTATATGTTTGTACAGTAAACATATTTGAAGACCAGGGGTTCAAAAAAGAGCTAGATAAATTAATGGAGGTTAGGTCCATCAATATTTATTAGCCAGGATGGGTAGGAATGGTGTCTGTAGCCTCTGTTTATCAGAGACTGGGGACGGATCATGTGATGATTCCTTGTTTTGTTCACTCTCTCTGGGGCATCTACAGGACACTAGACACTAAAGGTCTAGATGGACCTTTGGTCAGACCCAGTCTGGCCGTTCTTATGTTCTTATCAAGCACACGGAGTCCCAGTTTCACTTGTTTCCCCTGAGATACTAATTTTAATAATTTTGCATTACATTCTCATGAATATTTAGGCATGTATACATTGTGAGGATCTGTTAAGTGCAAATGTGTGTTTGTGTGTACGCTTATAGTATCATTGTATAAAGCCGAGTTAATCCTTTTGAGCTTTACAGATGTACTTTTTTTGCTATGTCCCTTTGCAAACGATGATTATGAAGGAGGGAGAAAAAAAGCTTGTTGTGTTGTAAGTGTAGCATGCCGATTGCTGAACAAAACTTTACGTTTTGGTAAAATGCAATTTCTGTCATGGCAACACTGCACATTTTAATTAAACTGCTCGCAGATAGTTGTGCAATACGAGTGTCTCTAGAATTAGAGCTATTTTGGACATAGTAAGGGAAGGGGGTTCTTTCAACCCTTCTGAAAAGAGAATGTTTGTGAGGCATGATGGTGAAGACACTGGAAATCGGGTGTCTAACCCATCATGAACAACCCCACCCTTGTTTGAACACCACAGTCCAACAACAGGATGCTACTTACCCTACATGTACTTGGAGACATCAACACTCCTTCTCCCAGTCAATAGATTTCTACAGACTCCCTGAATGTGACCACCAGAACTTCAGAGCACCCACTGCAGAGCATATCTTCCTCTAAAGTCAATCCATGTTCCAGAAAGGGACACCCCACTCTCTAGCAACTGTTCCCTCCCTAAGTCCCTGTCACATTTATGAAGATACGGTTATGACATGGATACGACAGAACTGAGCTATACTTGAGGCATGTAAAATATCACTGGAGAGGTTGTGATTTACTGAATGTAATTATCCAATCTGTTTGCCTGTATCATGTTTGTCTCTAAAGTTAAGAATATTGACCATGTATCTCTATTTCATCTGCTACTTTGGGTATCACCCACTGCTGACAATGCAGGTACTACAGTGGGAAAGCCAGAGAGGGGTGATAGACCATCACTGAGGATAGTAGACTGTGAAAAGACCTGGTTTTCCTCCATACTGCCTGAATGTGATTCATGGATGCTGTAATTCTGCAGAGTCATGTGACCTGGTTACCTGATGCTAATCTGCATCTTGCCCTGCCAAACTTTTCCACTGTGAGGTGGGGGAATCAAACAAAGGATTCCTGCCTTATGGAAACCCTATATAAGACAGGCAAAGAAAACAATTGGGGTCTTCAGTTTGTTTCGCTTCTGCCTCCCCACTCAATGAAACACCTGGAAAGAAAAAGACTAGAACTGAGGTAGGAGTAGAACAGTTGGCCCAGGGCTAGAAAGACATGATGGAATCCTCCTGAACAATATCTAGGGTGAGGAATAGTTAATTGTAACCATTTTTGTTAGCACATCTAGCTTAATGTGAATGCTTTGTATTATTTTCTTAGCAATCTGCTTTGTTTTGTTTACTACCTCTTTAACCACTTAAAATCCACTCTTTCATAGTTAATGAATTTATTTCTGGTTTATAGTATAACACAGTGTATGTACTTTCTAACTGGGTTGGGGAGGAAATTGTACATGCCTGCCTCCACATTGAGGGAGGAGGCAAATTTCATACAACTTTGGCCTTGTACTCCAGTTGGGGTGAACATCTGGGTATTGAGGCAAGTTCTTTAAGTTGAGCCTTCCAAGAGCTTAGATCAGTGTCTGTACCATTCTGCAGCTGAATGTGGCCTTGCCTGTCTCTGGGTTGGAGGAGGCTTAAGAGGCTAAAGGGTGCCCAGGATGGTGGAAAAGGTGGGGTCAGTGGTATCTTCAGCACCTTAGGGTGCCATCCAGGGTGTCCCACCCATGCCAGCTCCCATCTCATACACGCGCAGAAAGATCAGCTTTTTAGAATAGGAGCCATCCACACCACCCAAGGGCCGCGGCGCCGCCTGGATCCCAATCTCTGGACTGAACACCTTTTCACCCTTGTGGTTGTCTCTCATGGGCAAACCTAAAACCAATAAGTCCAGGAGCAAGAAGCTGTCTTGTGATGATAGGATTACGTCACTCACCCAAGCAAACAGTCAGTAGAAGGCAATGATGTTGGGTTGATCTTGACAGGGGGTGGTTTGGGATGGGGCGGGGGAAGGAACTCTCTTCCATTTCTGTAACCTCTTCCATTTCTGGTTCCTAACTTTTGCCATTTGCTCTGCAGTAGAAAAGTCATATCCCAGAAATCCTGGTACTGAATTAGGAGGTCACATCTGCATGCGATGGCACTGTGTCATCAGCACAGCTTGAGAAAACACTTGCTGATTCAATATGAAGATATGCTGGTACTGTAGCCTATCAAGTTACTTGCCTATCATGCTAATAATATGGTTGTGTTAACTTAGGGTATGTCTACACTAGCCACCCTAGTTCAAACTAGGGTGGCTAATGTAGTCATTTAAACTTGCAAATGATGCCCGAGATTAAAATATCCCAGGCTTTATTTGCATGTTCCCAGGCACCGCCATTTTTAAATGCCTGGTAGTTTGAACGCTCTGCCCACAGCTACACGCGGCATGGGCTAGGTAGTTCGAATTAAAGCTCCTAATTCGAACTACCGTTACTCCTCATACCGGTGAACATAAAATTAATTCCACTCAGGGGTGGGGAAAAACTCGAGGGAGCTCTGGACTCCTTCTCCACTGACACATCACGAGTTTAACCAGGGATCTCCACAAGTAAATCCAGGTGCGAGTATGCCTAGAAGAAGCAAAGGAAGGTCGGCTACTCCCACTCACTAGTGGGCTGCATTTTCACTGTTAACGGGATCAAGTACACAGAGTGCAAGGCTCTTAAGCTTCCTCTGGCCCACACCCCGCTGCAGCAGGATCCAGAGACTGAGATCAGCTCTGGGAGGGCCCATTGGAAGGAATGTCCATCATCCCGTGCAGCCGTTGTGTTTCTGAGAAGGGATGCTGCAGTGGCTCCCAGTTGCCCCAGTCCTGTCACAGGCCCTGGCCCAGTGTCACCGGTGTCACACTGTCATCGAGCGCAACAACCCAAAGGTTAAATCTCATAGACCAGGGCTTTCAAGCATCACTGCACCGTGACTCCCATCTGACAACAAAAATGACAACATGACCCCAATGGGGGAGGTGGGATGGAAGCTGGGGCCCAATTTGGACCCATTGCCCCAGCTGAAAGCCCAATGGGGCCAAAACTGAATCCCAAGGGCTTCTGCTCCAGGTGGGGACAGGAGGATGCACCCTGACCCCTGCCATCCATGGCTGAAATCCTTGGGCTTTGGTGTTGACCTTAAGTTCCAGCAAGTCTATTGCCAGTCCTCAGAACTCCATTAAAATAGGGCTGCAACCCATTTTGGAGTCCTGACCCACAGCTGGAGAACTGCTGCTGCATACCAACGATTAATGGATGATGCAAAAAAACGGAAGCCAACAAGGTGACTTTCCATTGATTTTGTTGGCCACTGGATCAGGCCTTAACTGAAGACAACTCATGGTTGTTCACACATGGCGAATATGGCCATGGAAAGGCTTCTCAAAGTCCCCTTTCTAAACACAGGAGTGAACTGAGGAACGTGCTGCAGAATTTCCTGTATCCTCTTGTTTTGTAACAAGATGCTAGTAGAAGAAACCAGATAACAGAATCTATTGAATGTATTAGAAAGAAAGAAAAGGATTAATTCTTTCTTTCTTTCTTTCTTTCTTTCTTTCTTTCTTTCTTTCTTTCTTTCTTTCTTTCTTTCTTTCTTTCTTTCTTTCTTTCTTTCTTTCATTTGTATAGTAACTATTCTTTAGAATCTTTATCGTCATGAAAGGGCATGTCTGAATTCTAAGCCCCTGAACGTTGGTCCTGGACCAATAAGGAACCCTATTCAGGAGTTGTATACATTTATTTAATAATTCACGGTGCCTTCAAGTCTATATACACCAACACACATGTGTTCATGCACACAAACACACACACAAAATAAGGGATTGTTATGGTAGATGATTTCTTTTGGGAACTTGAGAGGAAAGAATGATTGAGATGAGGAGGACCCATTAGGAAGATGGTATCTTTAAGAATTTTGGTCTTCTCAGGTGCGAATAATTACATCCCCAAACATTAAATCAAGTAAATTGAGAATGTATAAAAAAGACATCCGAACATAAGTTTCTTTTGGCAAAGAGGGTTTCTTTCTCCAAAATAAAATGACACTGGTATGGGAACTTAGTTTGGGGAATGAGGGTTTACGTCCCCCCAGATAGAGTGAAGGGGTGAGGCAGATCCAGTTTTGATCTGACAACAGAGAATTGTAATGTATCTAGAGCTTTCTCTTTTCAATATAGAGCTATACAACTCTCTGATCACCTTCGATGATATATTTCCTGTTGAGTCAGTTATTCAATGACCTTGAATCGTCATTGACCCAGACATGCAATAAAGGTTCCAAGACGCCTACTGGCTATCAGCTGGTGAAAATGTCCCAAGGTGGAGAGATTCATATCTAACTGAGAGATGGGTATTCAACATAATGAATGGGACTAACACTCAAAAAAGCTTTGAAAGTTTGCTTCCAATATAAGTCCAAAGCAATATAGATAATTGCTTTTTCAACAACGGGCTCCAGTCAAGAAGCCTTGAAATGCCTCTGGGAGGTAATTAACCAGGGAAATGATGCACAACCATGGCATGATTTAATTTAAGGATTTCTGCTCTAACTTCAGAGCCAGAAGATTTATTCCAAAGATCCTCCTGAACTTAGATCTTGCAGAGGGAAAGATGACAACAGAATCTTAGGGTTCGGGTTAGGTTTGGATCAGAGAAGGTCTCTGGGTGCCAATTTGAGCAAACCACTCCAGTTCAACAGTTTTGTGGTCACATCTAGAGAGCGAGCAAAAGGAGTCCTAAAATAGGGCAGGCAAAGATTGGGTTTTGGATTAAAAGTGCAAACGAGATAAATCTCTATTTGGTGAACTCCTTCACAACCAGAATAGGATTGAAGCTGGTGAGATAAAACCCATCACCATCCAGGTAAGCACTGGAATCTGTAAATGCCATTTATATCTTGTTTTCTAATAAGGCCGTGTATCTTTTTTAAACTTTCCCTTGCCTCCTACTAATGTTCAAGTATAGAAAATTTTTATTAGGATTCTAGTTCCACCCAGGAATGCATCAATCTGATTAAATTAATTCATCTAAAAGAGGAAATATCACCTTAAAATCTTTATTACAAACATCTTTCTTTGACTCTATCACCACCAACTAGCTGAAGGCTCATGAACTATAAAAAAACTCTCTCTCTCTCTCTCTCTCTCTCTCTCTCATAAACACTCTAAAAATGTATGTAGAATATAGAAATGTAATCCAGTCATCTGAGTAAAATAACTCATATAGGGTCAAATTTGCAGTATATAGAAGCTATTGGTGAGTCTAATCCATGTAATATTGATCCAATTGGAGTCTGAGGTAAAGACAATCCATTTTTTTTTGGCAAAAATCTTCTTCCTTAAAATGCTTATGAACTAAACTTTTGAGGAAAAAAACCATAATGCAGGCTTTTTGAACAATTTCAGATTTTTTTGAAAGCCTTAGCATAGGAAAATGTCCTACCCTACGATTTTTTGGTTTCTGATTTTCAATGCATTTTGAGGGGAATTTTTTTTTTGTTTTCCTTATAATTTTCCATGGAAAGATTCTTTTGTTTGATTTTAGCAGTTCTATTTATGTTTAAAGAAAATTTGGCATCATTTATAATAGGTTTGAAGCTACCTAAAGGAATTGAACCTGATGGAGGGACTTAGAGAATCAGTCTAGACTGGACCTCTGTGATTAGCACCAATTTAGCACAAACCTTTGTGTGTCTAACACAGAGAGACCGATCCAGACTATAAGGTTCATGATGTAGCCTAGATCAAAGCATCCCAATCAACCAATGAGCACAGACTTGGCACTGTGCTAAAACAATATTTCAGCTATTTCTTCCTAGCCTCAGGGAAATGGGAGCAGGGATGAGGGGTAAATCCAGAGACCTCCTAGACAATGAGCAAGGGGTATAGAGCAGACACAGAGGTAGACAGACTCCCGTGCTCCAGAAATTCAGGTTGTGATGAAGAAACAAAGGCAAACACTTGCTCCACAACACACATAATTAGCCCCTCTGATGCCCTCTTCTTTCGACTTCCTATATTGCCAACCATCCTGCTCCCTCCAGATCTTCATAGATCATTGTAGAGATATTGAGGAACATCTCTACCCTGCAACACACTCCCATAATTGCCAATTAAAGAGGAAAATTTGTCTAAGCAAAATTGTTTCAAGGGGTCTTAAGTTAGGTGTAGCCTCTAAAGGAGATACAATATCTGCCTTGCGGTTTCATTTTTATCTCAGGAACGTTGGCTCACAAACTGGGGTTGCATTGACAAAACTGATGATCCTGGCAGAGACATTCCAAGTTTTCGTGGGGAAAAAATACTTAAGGATGAAACTATTGATTATTGATTCCTTAAATCAGATAGCGTACCAATGAACACTGTAGTACCATGCATATGACCCAAAGCAAAGTCAAAGATCTGGGTGATCATGAGGACAAACCCATGGCTGAAAATTTGCATAGCAGAAGGTATTTAACAATGCAGCTGGGATAAAATACAACACACATCCTAAAAGTGCTTGTTGCAAAGCATAGTGAAAACAGAGTTTTTCTCCTTACTCCTGAAATCGTCTTTAACGATGCATACAACTTCCTCAGTGTGCATGCAGAATAAAATGAATCCCCCCCCAACAGATTTTCCAGAATAAATGTTTTGAGTATGTACTGTTCTGTTTCTGCAATTCACGTTGAGCTCCCGTTGTTCCTTGAGTTAAATATTGGGCCCTTTTTTCTCTTTGATTACTACTGAAGCAGTAGAGTTGGACTATCAGGGCATTCTTGTTGTTCATCTCATCATTGGTCATCATGCAATGTGTAGTATTAATTTCCTTGTTTTGTATCATAGCAGGTGAATTAGCTCTGTGCTGTACACCCATTGTCCCACTGAGTCCATGGCGTTTGCACATAATGTGACTAAATTCATCCTTTTGGGCCTCACCCAGGATCCAGAGATACAGCGTGCATGCTTTGTGCTGTTTTTACTCTTCTATCTAGTCATTGTGCTGGGAAATCTCCTCATCATTGTCACTGTAATATTCACAGAGTGGCTGAGCTCCCCGATGTATTTCTTCCTGGGCTACCTGTCCTTCGTAGATATCTGCTATTCCTCGGTCACGGCCCCCAAACTCATGGGCGACTTCCTCGTGGAGAGGAAAACCATCTCCTTCAATGGCTGCCTGACACAGCTCTTTATGGTCCACTTTTTTGGGGGCACTGAGATCTTTATCCTCACCATCATGGCCTACGACCGTTATGTGGCAATCTGTAACCCGCTCCTCTATACGACTATTATGAGCAAGCACGTCTGCGGCTGGATGGTGGCGGCGTCCTGGTTGGGGGGCTTTGTGCATTCCATGGTCCAGACTCTTTTAACCATCCAGTTGCCCTTCTGTGGGCCCAATGAGATGGACCACTACTTCTGTGACGTCCACCCTTTGCTGAAACTGGCCTGCATGGACACGTATGTGGTGGGCATCATGGTCGTTGCTAATAGCGGGATGATTTCTCTGACCTCTTTTGTTGTGTTGGTTGTTTCCTACGTCGTCATCTTAGCCTCCTTGAAAACTCACTCTTCTGAAGGGCGTCTCAAAGCGCTCTCCACCTGTGCCTCCCACATCACGGTCGTGATTTTAAACTTTGGGCCTTGTATCTTCATCTACTTACGGCCTTCCACCACCTTCTCGGAGGATAAGATGGTGGCTGTCTTCTACACCATTATCACCCCCATGCTGAATCCTTTGATCTACACCCTGCGAAATGAGGAGGTGAAAAATGCCATGAGAAAATTGTGGAGCAGGCACGTGAAGGTGGGCATCAAATGGCCAATGTGAGGTGAGAAATGATGTTAGTTCTTTAGCCTGGTTGTAAAGGTTGTAAACAGGTTATCTGAATACAACTTTGATGAAATTATAGAAAAAGGAGTATCCAAGCTTTAAGAAGGTTTCTTTCATCTTTGTCCAAGGGTTATAAATTGTTGCAACTTAGGACATAAAACAGTCACTAACTAACTGAGGTTAAGAGGAATCTCTTCCTATGGGCAGTTTATTTCACATTTATCTAAAGCAGCTAGCTACTGTCTGAGGATACAGGAGTAGAATTTCCATTGACTGATTGGGTACCATAATTTTGGGGAGAGGATGATAGAAAGCACAAGCCACATATGAGCAACATTAGTCTGATAGGTTAGTGTACTAATAAGTGTTTAGACACAATCAGAAGGGAGATGTGTAAGAACCTTTATAGTACAAAAGAGATTCATTGATTATAAATCGAGAAAGGAACAATTGCAATGTTTAGATTATTAAGGTGTGGGAGAAAAATCAAATAACTCCAATTATGTCTAAGGGGGGACTGTGGAGGAAATCAAAACTCTCTAAAAGAAAACCGCAGTAAGGGTTAAAAGTTTTCCAGGCCTCTCTCTCTGTAACAGAGAGAAATCATCTTAACTCTAATCAAGACCCTTACAATGTCTCCTTTCTCAACGTATGGAGACTCCTAGTCTGTCACAGTTCGTCATGTAAACTCTTATCTCTGTCACAGTTTGCCTTGTAGACTCCTCACTCAGGTTCTCATGTGCCTTTGTACTGTAAAACTTACTTCTAGCACTTCTGGTGTGAACAGAAACATCTCCGAGTACTTCTGCTGAGACTTTGCTATGTTAAAGAAAACAATCAACAACTACTGTCTGAACATACTGTATAAAGGATCCCTGAAACTGTCTCTCGGGGCGGCTGCTGCTCTCACTCTGGTAGCTGTCAGCCTGCATGCATGCATAATAAAGTTTTCCTTCTAGATTTCTCTCCTGCCTCATTGCTTTGACCTCCAGCCTCGGACCCTTCTGGGGACTCTGTACCCCAGTGGAGTGAGATTTCCCCACAAGTGGCCAATGGGACCATCAGATCACCTTGTCTGACTTCCAGCATTTAGGTAGACCTGTGTAACACTGGCCACAGATTACTCCTGAATGAATTCCTATTTGAAGTGGAGCATAGCAGTGAGAAAAATATCCACTCTTGATTTTAAAAAGTATCCAGTGATGGAGATTTCACCAGAACCCTTGAAAAATTGTTCCAGTGAGTGATTAGAATAGAACAGAATTCTTCGTTTTACAGATAATGCCCATTCCTTGACTATCACAAAAAGGGGCTTTCTGTGAAGTCCTGCAATGATGAAACATGGAAAGAAATGACACACCCATATCACTTGTTGCAATTCTCAATAATGGTTTAGGAAGTTCCCCAGAAGTCCTAGAAAGATTCATTTCTAGCCAAAGCATACTACGGCTAAGACGTCTGTGGTGCCCTGGGTCAATGATTTTGGTGACTGAATATGGATTTGGGGCTGTCCATTAGTAGATCCCTGTGCAGATACAAAATTTTGTATCCATAGCTGCATCTGTATCCACATAAATGAGCAGCAGTTATCTGCATCGACATCCGCGGGTGTGGATGCCCATAGATATAAAGCAGATATCTGCAGATTTGTGGGGCAGTATAAATTAGGCATCAGTTTTTTTTTTCAAAATCTTGATCTTCTCTCAAAGGCCAGGTCTACGCTAGACCTGGAAGCTCGGCTTAAGGTACAACCTCAACTACGTAGAATATGTAGTTGAAGTTGGCTTACCTTACGCCAAGTTTGGCAGCCTCCACACAATGGGAGCCAACGGGAGCAAACATTCCCATCGGCTTCCCTTACTACTCATGACTGCCAGGAGTACAGGGGCCAGCTTCATATGTCCTCAGTGTTTCAGCTTTTCCTCTCTCCTCCTCCCTTCATGCATCTGTGTACTTGCTCTACAGCAAGCCCACAGTTGTGGGCATGGAACTAGCCACAATGGCATTCATTATGACCGAGGTGTCTAACCAGTTCTGAAGCAGTAGCCACTAGAGTGGCTATAACGAAGTAGCCACATTCAACCGGCCAAATAGTTACATGTGGCTCATGTGTTGGACACTGCAGAATTATGATGAGCACGTTGGAGTAGAAAAGAAGCCCTAAAAGCAGACGGTTGGTGAATGCGATTGAAGCATATGTTGTTAGAAGCATGGGTAACCACTGCTACACCTTTCCCCACCATTCCCCCAAAAACTAGATGTTCCTTGAGGAGCGAGCCAAGTCACACCATATGCTGTATATTGGGAAAATGCCATAAACTGAAACACAAAATAGAGCTAGCCAAATATTGAAGGCTGTTTCCTTGGCTGGTGAGCTTGAAAACTTAGAGTACCATTAGTTTGAAAAAGCTACGTTAGCCAGAGGATTTACCTAATTCTTGGGCTGTTGACCATGACTACAAAGCCTCCATCCTGGTTGTCCAGAGGGTGGAATGGATAACCCCCAAAGAAAGGGGTGTGTGTTGGGGGCGGGGAGCTGGTAGTCAACATGAAAGCAGAGACTCCAGAGAAAGCTTTGGACCGGGATTCCACACAACCTCCCTTGATAGGTGGTACCTAGGAGTTGCCTTTCTTACCTTCTCCAATCCACCTCCCCTATCACTCTCCTTCCATCTGTAACTTCCCAGACCCTTTCTTCAAATTCCTGCTCACATGTCCCCCACCAAGACCCCTCGCTCTTCCATCCCCTTGTGCTCCCATATCACATTCCTTTCTTCTTCCTCTTTGTTTGTCTTCCGTCTCTCTGCCTCCAGATTCCCACCTCTGCACACTCCTTTCCTCATCTCTGGATTCTCCTTGGCCCCCTCCACATGTTCCCCTGCTCCCCCCACAGTGTCTGTCCCTGTCTCCCCCATAGTTATAGGCTCTTCACCGTGACTCTCATGGAGTCCTGCTAAGTGTCTTAGGGGAGCTTGGGTTCAAACCTACCAGAAGCAAAGGGAGGCAGTTGTCATCTTTTCTAAAAGGCAGTCGCATTGGCATAAGTAAAGGCTGCCTGGGAATGCCAACGAGTTTTGTTTCAGGCTGGGCAGTAGCTTCAGTCCCACTGAGAAAGAAGGGTGCCGGCGGCCATCTTGATCCAGTGGAGATTGTTCCTGTCAATCCTAGATCATTTGACTGGAAATACCAGCTGGTATGGACAGTAGCTCCATCCTCATCTTCCAAGGAGAAGACAGAAGGTGAGGGGTGGTGTCTTCCCCCTATCCCCTAGCAACCGGAATGTTTCCATGGCAACTAAGGCTCATGTCTATCACATTTTACCCTAGTGATAAGTGTTCCCATAGCAACTGAGACTCATCACTCCCTCCCCACGCACCGTGCAAGTGTGTGTTCTCAACAACTGAGGCAGGGAAACCACCCAGCCAAACAAGAACAGTGGTTTGAGTGGCTAATTTGTTTAGGGATGCTGCAAAGGGCCAGTCTGGGCCATGTCCTTTCCACACAAGGGGCAGCAGATTCCTTCACCCGCTCCACCATCTTGGGATGCAGGTTCTGTGCTTGCTTCTTCCCCCGAGGCTTGTCCTGTCTGCCCCCAAACCAGCATGGGGTAGTGCCTCAGGGCCACCCCACTGGATGACCCCCTGGTCATGCCCACACAGACCCAGCCAAGTCCTATAGAGATATACTATGGGCATTAATGCAGGGCTGCCCAGTGACAGTTTTGGTGCTCTGCAGATGGCTGCTCTTGCCACAGATCTGATGCCATGTAGCGGGATGAGTCGGTTTGATCCTGGTTGACTTGACACGTTAGGCAAAGGGTAAAATTATTCCCAATGTATGGAGGGAAGTGATTGCTGATTCAGTATCGACATCAGTGCAGAACATGTAAGTCCAATGGGGCTGTGGTATGTTACTCTCTTGAAGCAGAGATCCTATGGAACAACTGAGAGTAGGTGACTCAACCCATCTGGAAAGAGATGGTTAGTGAGGGGACAGGTTTAAGGCATTTGAAATCCAGTGCATCACCCTCTGATCCTCTGTTCCCCCCTCCAGTTTTTGCCAATTTTGGATGGTCTCTTACTATATATTTGTACAGCACCAAGCACATGGGGTTCTGATCACAGCTGAGCCCACTAGGCAATGCTGCATTACCCTAATAGTAATACGTTTGCATTATGTTCTCATGGACATTTAGATAGGTGCACATTAAGAACATAAAAATGGCCAGACTGAGTCAGACCAAAGGTCCTTCTAGCCCAGTGTCCTGTCTGCCCACAGTGGCCAATGCAGAGTACTCCAGAAGGAGGGAACACAACAGGTAATCCTCCCATAATCCCTCTCCTGTCACATTACGAGGGTCTGTTAAGTATACAATAGCACAACACAACCCACACCACACAAGCCACACCCCACACCCCACCCTACCCGACACGGAATTTTTGGGAGTTTTTCACATCTAACTTTTTGGCTACGGCCCTTTGCAATCAAAGAGTCAAGCAGGGGAGAGATGAAGGTTATTGCCTCCCGAGTGTAACTGGCAGAGTCTCAAACCATCCAGCTTTCTATCTACATGCCATGCGACTGAGAGCAGGGTTTTGTTAAAGATGCCCACAGATGGTTGGGCAATGTGAGTCTCTCTTGAAGTAGAGCTTCTGTGGAGAGACAACAGCTGGTGGGTCAAGACCATGGCTGTGAGAGGAGATGGTTCAGACATTTAAAATCCAGCGCCTGACCGGTTCTGAACAATGTCACTCTCACTTAACCAGTAGTATCCTGAACAACCACCCATCCTCAAACCTCACACTTCCCTTGGAAGTTGCGACTGGTGCCTCTTCTCCTCTCCAGATCTCTGGAAGGCTGGTAATTCGGGGTCCTTTTTCAGAACTCTGAACACACAGGATTCATGAGAACGTGACCTACTGAGCCATTACATAAATACCTAAGAAGCTAAAAGTTCTGTGATCCAACCAGCAGAAATAAGTATAGCTTCTTTTAGGTAAGTTGCCTACGGCAGCTGCTCAGCATATGTAAATCCACCTAGCTCTATGAAATATACAGAATGGGAAGCGAGTATCTAGGAAGGAGTCCTGCAGAAAGGTGTCGGGGGGGGGAGGGGGCATAGTGGACCACAAGCTAAACATGAGTCAACAGTGCGACACTCTTGCAAAAAGCAAACATGATTCTGGGATGCATTAACAGGAGTGTTGTGAGCAAGGTACGAGAAGTCATTTTTCCACTCTACACTGATTAGGTCCAGTTCTGGGCACCACATTTCAAGAAACATGTGGAGAAATTGGAGAAGGTCTGGAGGAGGGAAACAAAATCTAGAAAACATGAGCTATGAGGGAAGACTGAATGAACTAGATTTGTTTGGTTTGGCAAAGAGAACGGTTGGTGTGAACCACACAGGAAACCCGATTTATAGAGAGCTGTGTCATTGGCCAGCAAGTGGGTCCTCTCTGCTACTGTCCAAACCTCTGACATTTGCCCAGAGAGATGTATTATTAGGGTCCCTCTATAGACCAGGGGTCACATAAGGATCCAGGGAGCACGTGAAGCCATCAGCTCTCAGTGACATTTACATACCCAGGTCCCTCTGAGCTGAGAATGGACCAAAGGCTATTTCTGTCCTCACAAGCAGAGCCTAATCTAACGGGACAGCTTCTCTCCATTTCTCCAGCCATCCCCTCTCTTATTCTGGCTGTCCTTTATCTCCTGCAGAGTAGACTGAAGGAGAAATAGGGAAAGTAAGTTACATAGAAATCCATGCACCTGGGGACTAAACTCTGAGGGCGGCCTCCTTTGGAAAGCAATTAAACTTGCTACTGCGTCAGCCTCCCAGGGGGAAGGCAACTTTGGATGGTGCTTCGGTGAGCACTTAGAATGGTGAGCCGGTAGCTGAGAAGGCGCATTAGATTTCCTTCTGGTGCATCGTACCAGGGCCACGTCAAAACCACCTGTTCATGATAATGCTGTGAAAGAACTTTGAGGGGGCTTTGGGATATAGTTACAAGGCAGAAGAAGAGGAAGCAAAAGACGTTATTTTTGGACATTAGCACCAAGTTAATTGGGATGGAGAGTTAGGTACCATGGCCATACAGAATTATTCATATTAGTGTTGCCCCTCAAAATAGCTAAAGCACTTTACTCACCAGGGGTATGTCTACACTACCCCGCTAGTTCGAACTAGCGGGGTAGTGTAGACATACCCCTGGTGAGTAAAGTGCTTTAGCTATTTTGAGGGGCAACACTAATATGAATAATTCTGTATGGCCATGGTACCTAACTCTCCATCCCAATTAACTTGGTGCTAATGTCCAAAAATAACGTCTTTTGCTTCCTCTTCTTCTGCCTTGTAACTATATCCCAAAGCCCCCTCAAAGTTCTTTCACAGCATTATCATGAACAGGTGGTTTTGACGTGGCCCTGGTACGATGCACCAGAAGGAAATCTAATGCGCCTTCTCAGCTACCGGCTCACCATTCTAAGTGCTCACCGAAGCACCATCCAAAGTTGCCTTCCCCCTGGGAGGCTGACGCAGTAGCAAGTTTAATTGCTTTCCAAAGGAGGCCGCCCTCAGAGTTTAGTCCCCAGGTGCATGGATTTCTATGTAACTTACTTTCCCTATTTCTCCTTCAGTCTACTCTGCAGGAGATAAAGGACAGCCAGAATAAGAGAGGGGATGGCTGGAGAAATGGAGAGAAGCTGTCCCGTTAGATTAGGCTCTGCTTGTGAGGACAGAAATAGCCTTTGGTCCATTCTCAGCTCAGAGGGACCTGGGTATGTAAATGTCACTGAGAGCTGATGGCTTCACGTGCTCCCTGGATCCTTATGTGACCCCTGGTCTATAGAGGGACCCTAATAATACATCTCTCTGGGCAAATGTCAGAGGTTTGGACAGTAGCAGAGAGGACCCACTTGCTGGCCAATGACACAGCTCTCTATAAATCGGGTTTCCTGTGTGGTTCACACCAAAGGACTTTCTCTCCAGAGCCAGTGAAAGCAGCAGAGACGAAACCGAACCTCACTTGGGAAAGCATCGGCCATGCATCTAAGGTAAGTGTCCCATTGACCTGGGCGTCGGTCCGGGAGGTGCCCATCAGCCTGCACTAAATACAAGGATTAATTGAAGCATCTTCCACTAGTACGTGTGTTTCTGAGACTTTTCTTTTCTTTTGTTTTCTGGGACTTTTCCTTTCAGATCAATGAAAGTGCAAAGGGACAGCTATTGAAAGGCATTTAGGTGCCAAACTCCCATTGAAATCGGTGGGAGTTAGACACCAAAATTCATGTAGATATTTGTCCTTAAGCCCATCAATGATCATGGGAATCTTTCTGTGGGAAATTCAAATCCCGGGCTTCATTTGCAACTCCGTATGACTACATTAACCCCCCTAGTTAGAGCTAGGGGGGTAGTGTAGACATACCCCCATTGATTATGCTGATGTTGCATATTATTAATGCATTGCCATATATCACAGTACAGTTTGGGAGCTGCCTTCCTGGACTCTCTCTCCACTGTGCTAGGTACTGTACAAACATAGAACAAAGAGATAGAGGTGAGCAAATGTGATGAACATTTTGATAAAGGGAAGAAAAGCAATTCCGGGGAATACTGTTCATGAAGAATAGCTTCTGTCAATTAAACCACTATGTACCAGATATTAAGGGGATAACTGAAGAAAAAAATGGTTCGGGGAACAGAATTAGAAGCAACAGGTAGCCCTGAGGTTTATAAATAAGCAGTTGAATTGTATGAGTTAACAGTGTGTCCTTGTAGCCAAGAAGGCTAATGGCATATTAGGGTGCATTAGGAGGAGCATTGCCAGCAGATCTAGGGAAGTGATTATTCCCCTTTATTTGGCACTGGTGAGGCCACATCTGGAGTAGTGCGTACAATTCTGCCCCGCACCCATTACAGAAACGATGTGGCTGCTTTGGAAATAGGCCAGTGGAGGGCAACCAAAATGATTCGGGGGTTGGAGCACATGACATCTGAGGAAAGACTGAAGGATTTGGGCTTGGTTAGTCAACAGAAGAGAAGGGCGAGGAGGGATTTGATAGCAGCCTTCAACTCAAGGAGGCTTCCAAAGAGACTGGAGAGAAGCTGTTCTCTGTGGTGGCAGATGACAGAATGAGGAGCATTGGTCTCAAGTTACAATAGGGGAGGTGTAGGTTGGATATTAGGAAAAAATCTTTCCTTAGGAGGGTGATGAAGCATTAGGATGAGTTCCGTAGAGAGAGGGTGGAATCTCCATGCCTAGAGGTTTTTTAAGTCCCAGCTTGCCAAAGCCCTGGCTGGGGTGATTGAGTTGGGGTTGGTCCTACTTTGGGCAAGGGGTTGGACTTGCAGGAGGTTGGATTCAGTGACCTCCTGAGGCCTCTTCCAGCCCTGTGATTCTATGATTCTAAGTTGGGCTGGATAAATATGAACGCTTTTCCTGAAGGAACAGGGAAATGAGGAAATGAAAGGAATGCAGCATCTAGGAGAATAAGGAACTGCTTCCTTGAGGTGCCTCAATAGACGTTGTTGGGAGCTGTGTTCTTTCAAGAATCTGGACCAAAAGGTATGGGGTAAGCACCACAAAGATTCTAAGCAGGAATCCTGGGATGTAATGGAGGAAAGGAGAATTTAAGTTGACCATCAAGAGAAATCTCCTGATGGTGGAGTATATTAGACTGAGGATGAACGAAAGGGCCTAATCCTGCATGGAGATCAGCACCCTCATCTTCCAGTAAATTTACTGGGAGATGATAGCACTCAGCACCCATCAGGAAGAACCCTGGACTTGACCCATCTTCCATTGGGAATCCTAGGAATCTTATGGAATCAGGCCCACACGGAGGCCAGTGTTGGCTTCTAGGGACTAGTGTAGAACCCAGAAGCCGGACTGAAATCCTGTGGATCCCACAAGACCTGCTGCCGTAATGGCAGAACGGGATGGGAGCGGGATAAAAAGTAGGCCTGTGCCGGGATTGACTTCCAGAAGCCTTCCTAGGGCTAGTATCAGGCACATTTCTGCTGACACAAGCCAGCATTCTTCTAACTGTACTCAGTGTATTTCCTCTACAGATCAAGGTCGGTTTTAGGGATGGACTCTTCTTGCAAATGATCTTCCATTGTATGTGTCTCCACAGATCTCAGAGGATGACCATCGGAGTATGGCCCATGCCAATTCTACCTCCGTGACTGAGTTCATCCTCTTAGGATTCCCAGATCATCCGGAGCTGCAGGTCCCCTTCTTTGTGTTGTTCCTGGCCATCTACCTTATCACCTTGCTTGGGAACCTCGGGATGATCGCATTAATCAGGATGGATTCCCGGCTCCACACACCCATGTATTTCTTCCTCAGCCACTTGTCTCTGGTGGATGTCTGTAACAGCTCGGTGGTCATACCTAAGATGTTGGTGAACTTCTTGGCGGACAGTAAAGCCATCTCCTCCACCGGCTGTGCTGCACAAATGTCTTTCTTTGTTGTCTTTGCCACCGCCGATCTGTTGCTCCTGGCGGTGATGGCCTGTGACCGCTATGTGGCTGTCTGTAACCCACTCCTCTATAGGGTTGTCATGTCCCCTCGAGTCTGTGCCCAGCTGGTGGCTGGCTCGTATGTGTGCAGCACTCTAAGTTCGGCGATACACACATGCTTGACTTTTAGATTGTCCTTTTGTGGCTCCAATGTCATCAGCCATTTCTTCTGTGACATCCCCCCTCTCTTAGCACTCTCCTGCTCCGACACCAGCCTCAATGAGATGCTGCTCTTCATCTTGGGAAGCGTGGAAGCTGCTATTTCTCTCCTGATCATCCTGGTGTCCTACCTGTTCATCTTGGCAGCTGTCTTGCGTCTCCCTTCCACCACAGGGAGGAGAAAAGCCTGCTCCACCTGCACCTCCCACCTGACCGTAGTCACTATGTTATATGGGACTCTTGCCTTTATGTATTTACGGCCCAGTTCCAGCTATGCCCTTGACCAGGACAAGGGAGTGTCCGTGTTCTATACAGTGGTGATTCCCATGTTGAACCCCCTCATCTACAGCCTGAGGAACACGGAGGTGAAGGATGCCCTGCGGAGTGTGATCAGGAGGGAAATATTTCCTCGTTGGATGTGATTTGTGGAGAATTAATAAAGAAACAGCAGAATTTCCGGGAGCTGAGAGTTCCATTATGTGAACTTGCACATTTTGCAAGGAAATAACCATTGATGGGTAAACTGGGGTGAATCACAGTAGCTCTCTTGACTCCAGTGGGGCTAGACTAATTTTACATCTATGGAGAATCTGGCTCATCCGTGTTATACAGCCAGGGAAGCGGGTACACCTTCTCACAGGGCACTGAACCCCAATCTGAAGAGTTTTGAAAAGAGGCACCAGTTTTATATGCCTCCATTTTAGGTGCCCAATTCTAGATTCTAACAGTGTGACTTTTTTAGAGGTGCTTAGCACTTCCGTTGCAGAACAATGGGGGGGGTGTTATCTACAATTCTGTGAAACAAGACCTTCAGCATCTCAAGCTGGATGCAGAAAAGGCCCAAAATGGGCGAAGACTTGTGATGGAGTGGACTAAACCCTGACACCCCCTACAGGAGGCCGAAGGTCTTGCCACATCCCATCCCAAAGAGAGGAGCAGAAGAGAGGTCCTCCAGGCTGGAGAGAGAGGCTGCCCCCACGTCAGCCAATTAGGGCCCAGAAGACCAATATAAAAGAAGCTGTGGGGCTGGGGCTAGGCCTGGCAGTTCCTCACAGGAGCTCGCCTCAGGCAGTTCTGTATATTGACGGGGAGAACAGCAGCACCACGGACAGCTTTGAGTGTAAGCGGAATTTTAGACCTGGGTGAGGCCCAGGTCCAGTGGCAGAAGACTGGCCACAAGCTGAATACAAGAACTCATAGTATCATGGACAGAGCTAGTGAGATCCTGGCCTCAGATCCTTGTGACCACCAGACAGGGCAGCCTGCAGGGAAGAAGAGGGAAGTGACCCAGGGAGCAGGCAAGTACTAGACGGACAGGCAAAGAGCTTACTTGACACCCCTCAGCCACAGACGGGCACCCACAAATGGGTGAACCCCATTACAAGGCTCTTGAAAATGTGGGCCCTGAAGTTGTACTCGTGTGCCACAGAAGTGGCATGGATTGTGGAAATTAGGACAAAACCAGGTGGAAGAGAAAGGGAGAAACTAGGTAGGCTACCTCAGGAGAGTGTTGATTGGGGGGTAGTGGAGGAGCAGCGGTTTGGGAATTTACGGAGCTAAGGGGCTGGGTAAAAGAACCCAGAACTGACATAGCAGAAGGGCTGTCTGTGAGGATGAAGGGGCATTAGCAGAGCAGTGTGTATGCCAAGTTCAGGGTGAGGGGGCCGCTGGTTGGGATTGAAGGGTGTTGGCAGAGCCATGTTGTTGTGGAGCTCAGGACTGGGATAGAAAGGGGCCACAAGTCAGGATGGAATTCCACAGGCAGAGCTGCGAGGGTGGGGACCCCTCTCAGCAGCAGGATGTGACCCCAGATGCATTTCACTGCATTCAAGTAAACGCCTTGGAAGGTGAGGCAATATCAGGGAGTGACAAGCTATTAATCTACGTTGCTGAATTCTAGAAGAAGTGGGGAGCCCAGGAAAATGACTGGAGCAGCACGTGGATGGGGGTGATGAGTAGGGAGAGCACAAAGGGCCACATACCCCAAACGTTGTGGGTGGGAGAAGCAAGGGGCCAAGTGGAAAGGAACTAGTGGGGGAGCTGATGCCTAAAGCTGGGCTCTCTCCCCCCCCTCACAATCACCGGTAGTGGTGGGCAAATTGGAGCAACTAGGGGGAGGGGTGGGACCACCCCCCATTTGATGGCAGGATGTAGAGCCACCTGGCCAAAGGAGCGGAGAAAGATGGAGCCTCATTGAGTGTGGCTAACTCTAACCTAAACCTCCCTTGCTGCAATATAAACCCATTGCTTTTGTCCTATCCTCAGAAGTCAAGAACAATTTTTCTCCCTCCTCCTTGTAACACCCTTTTAGGTTCTTGAAAATTGCTGTCATATCCCTTCTCAGTCTTCTCTTTTCCAAACCAAACAAACCCAGTTCCTGCAGCCTTCCCTCATAGCTCATGTTTTTTAGACCTTTAGCCATTTTTGTTGCTCTTCTCTGAACCTTCTCCAATTTCTCCACATCTTTCTTGAAATGCGGTGCCCAGAACTGGACACAGTACTCCAACTGAGGCCTATTCAGTGCAGAGTAGAGCGGAAGAATATTTTTTGTGTCTTGCTCACAACACTTCTGTTAATGCATCCCAGAGTCATGTTTCCTTTTTTTGCAACAGCGTCACACTGTTGACTCATATTTAGCTTGTGCTCCACTATGACCCCTAGATCCCTTTCTGCAGTGCTCCCCCCACACTATCCCGAGGTTCATTAACACCTCCCCTCTCCGATGCAGGTATAATTAGCCATCAGAAGCTTGAAATGGGTGCCAGGGGATGGATCGCTTGATGATTCCCTATCAATTACTCCTCCATTGTGAGACCGCTCACCAATTTGACAAGGGGATACCCCCCAACGTGGAAGAGATCACCCCAACATAAGCTTGCAAGTCCTAATGAGAGGTATTTCAAGGTGAATGAACCATTTGGAGACCGTTGGACTGAGGAATGCAACAGCGCTTTCCATGCCCTTATTGAGAAACTCACCACTGCACCAGTGTTAACCTTTGCAGACCCTACCAAGCCCTATGAACTACACGTAGATGCCAGTCTTGATGGATTAGGAGCAGTTCTCTATCAGAATTATGAGAATAAATGGAAACCTGTGGCGTTTGTCAGTCGAGGGTTGACTGCCTCTGAAAGACACTATCCCGTGCACAAACTTGAGTTTTTAGCTCTCAAATGGGCTGTTGTGGACAAACTTCATGATTATCTATACGGAGCGACCTTTGTAGTAAAAACAGATAATAACCAAGGGTATGTCTACACTACCCCGCTAGTTCGAACTAGCGGGGTAGTGTAGACATACCCTGGGCTAGATGGACCTTTGGTCTGACCTTGTACGGCCGTTCTTATGTAATGACAGAAATGAGCTTATGCTACCAAATTTGCTTGGGAGTTAGGTTTCCCCTTCCCAGGTGTTTGTAGGTGCCTGTTGTTTAATGGAGGCTTAGATACAATTCCTGTGTCCCATGGATCGAGGAAATGGAAGCACCATGGTCCACAAGTTCATCCTTGTGGGACTCACGGACAGTCCATGGCTGTAGGTCACTCTCTTTCTGGTGTTCCTCATGATCTATACTGTCACCCTGCTGGGCAACCTTGGGATGATCGTGTTAATCAAGATTGACCCCCAGCTTCACACCCCCATGTACTTCTTCCTGAGTCACTTGTCCTTCTGCGACCTCTGCTACTCCTCTGCCATCGCCCCCAAGATGCTACTCAACTTCTTAAGGGAGGACAAGTCCATTTACTATGTTGAGTGTGCGGCACAGTCTTACGAGTTTGGTTCTTTCTTGGATGCAGAGTACTTCCTTCTGGCCGCCATGGCCTATGACCGTTGTGTGGCTATCTGCAAGCCACTGCTTTACATGGTTACCATGTCCAGGACGTTGTGTGTCAGCCTGGTCACTTGGGCATATGCAATAGGTTTGGTGGATTCACTCATCCATATCTATTTCACCTTGGGTTGTCGTTCTGCCACTCCAACGTCGTCAACCATTTCTTCTGTGACATCCCCGCCTAGCTGGCTCTCTCCTGCTCCAACATCTGGCTCAATGAGCTCTTACTCTTCTTCATCGTCAGCTTCGTGGAGTTGAGCATCACTCTTTAAATCCTGGTGTCCCACCTCTACATCCTCATCATGATCCTGCAGACCCGCTCGGCAGAGGGGAAACAAAAAGCCTTCAGCACCTGTGCTTCCCACCTCCTGTGCATCTCCATCTTCCATGGGACTCTTCTCTTCATGTACTCCAGGCCCAGTTCCAGCTACTCCCTGGACACCGACAAAATGACCTCTGTGTTCTACATGCTGGTGATCCCCATGCTGAACCCCTTGATCTAAAGCTTAAGGAACAAAGATGTGAAGGACGCCCTGAGGATAGGGATGGCGAGAAATAATTTTTCATCCTGTCAACCTTCATATGTCTGAGAATAATGGGCAGGGATGGGAGACAGGCAAAACAGTGTAGCATCCTTTAGGATGGCATGTTGCAAAAGTTGGGTTTTCTGTGTCTGTATATTTAAGGTGGCATAGTCAAAAATGGAGAAGGCACTTTTTAAAAGTTAGACTTAGGTGCTTCAAGGAACGGGGTGTTACAGAGCTTGAATGTATTGGATCAAAGATGAGAAATGTGATCAGTATCCTGTAGATTCTAAATGCTAGTCTCACCTCTCACACATAAGAATGACGATAGTGGTAAGATCACAGGTCCCTCTAACCCAGTATCCTGTCTGCCGACAATGGACAATATTAGATGCCCCGGAAGGAATGAACAGAACAGGTAATTATCAAGTGATCCCTCCCCTGTTACCCATTCCCAGCCTCTGACAAACAGAGGCTTGGGACACCATTCCTACCCAGCCTGGCTAATAGCTATTGATGGACCTATTCTCCAAGAATTTATCTAGCTCTTTTTTTGCACCCTGTGCAAATGGAAGTCAGCCATGGGGAAAAAATTCCCCAATGAGGTTGTTTTGCTAAAAGTCCACGGTTTTGGGTTTTTTTAAACGTATCTTGGACTTATTGGGAGGACGGCCTGTACGTGAAAATAATGCATTTGGTGGATGTTCGTATCTATACTGTTTTGCTTCCTTTGATCAACTCATATTGTCTTTGTTGCATTATGGTGCCCAATCACGGTGATCATTGTTTTATCCCAAATAAACTATTTTAAAATAATCTCTTTCCATTTTCCAGCCTTCTTAACTTTAACCTACTAGAGCAATAGAGTTTTTTCTTCTATGGGGATCAAGGGAAGGTGGGTAATACAAGAGGAAGGAAATCATAGAATCATATTACACTAGAATCGGAAGTGACCACAAGATGTGGGGCAGGAGACTGGACTTGATGACCTCTCGAGGTCCCTTCCAGTCCTAGTATTCTATGATTCTATGTCATCAAGTCCAGCCCCAATTCTCACGACAGGACC